TCTTCAAAATACGCTGTTGGGCTTTTTCTTAACGCAGAGCCTTTTGATGAGCAGAAGTTTTAAAATTTGATGTAGTTTAATTTTTCAAAATTGTTTTCTCTTATGGTTCTTGCTTCTGGTGGTCTGAGAAATTTCCTCCTACCTCTAGGTCACCAATCTGGTCTATTTTTTTTTTTTTTTATTTTCTAAAAGCTTTATAGATTGAGCTTTCAGCTTAGGTTTATGACCCATCTTTCATTAATTTTTGTGCGTGGTTTGAGGTTGGGGTCTGCATGTGGATAGCCAGTTGTTTTAGTACCATTTATTGAAAATACTGTTTTTGAACTCTGTATTTGATTGTTTTATTTATCTATGCCTATTGTCCTGATTACTACAGTTTACTGTACTATTATAGAATTAAGTAGTACTATAGTACTACTCACTATAGTAAGTCTTGAAATTAAATATTGTTAGTACTCCAGCTTTATATAAATATATTTTTTTCAGGATTAATTGTTTATTCTAGGTCCTTGGCTTTTTCAGGTAAATCAGCTTATCAATCTGTTTTTTTTTTTGAGACAGAGTCTCACTTTGTTGCCCAGGCTAGAGTGAGTGCCGTGGCGTCAGCCTGGCTCACAGCAACCTCAATCTCCAGGGCTCAGTGATCCTCCTGCCTCAGCCTCCCGAGTAGCTGGGACTACAGGCATGTACCACCATGCCCGGCTAATTTTTTGTAATATTTTTAGTTGGTGAATTAATTTATTTCTGGTAGAGACGGGGTCTTGCTCAGGCTGGTCTCGAACTCCTGACCTTGAGCAATCCTCCCGCCTCGGCCTCCCAAAGTGCTAGGATTACAGACGTGAGCCACAACGCCCGGCCATCAATCTGTATTTTTAAAATAGAAAGAGAAGCCTGCTTGGATTATGATTGGGGTTGCATTGAAATGACGGGTTACTTTGGGGAGAAATGACATTTTAGCAATACTGAGTTTTCTAGTTAATTAATATCATGTCCTCTATTTAGGTCTTCTTTAATTTCTATTAATGATGTTTTGTAACTTTCAGTACAGAGCCTATACGTCTTTGTTAACTTTATTCCTAGATATTAATAGTTTATGTTATTTTGATGCTATTGTAAGTAGAACTGGGTTTTTTTTAATAAGTTGCTTTTCTTGTATTTACTTCTAGTGTTTAGAAATTCTGTTGGTTTTTATTTTGTGTGTGTATGTGCGCCTATTAATTCCTTAGGATTTTCAGCACTAATAATCATGTCATTTGCGAATAAGGACAATTCTACTACTTTTCTTTGTTTTTAGTTGTTTATATTTTGCCTGTTTGCACTGACTAGAAGCTCCAGGCCAATGTTGAATAGAAATGGTGAGAACAGACATCTTTGCCTTATTCATGATCTTAAGGGGAAAGCATTTGGTCTCTTTCATCATTAAGAATATTAGCTATCAGACTGAGGAAGTTCCCTTCTGTTCTTACTTTGAGGAGCATTTTTATCATGAGTGGGTATGAAATACTTACATACCGTTTAAAAACAGTGAAACTTGGTTTTTAGGACTTCAGTGTAGAGAATTACAGAATACTTTGACATTGCCATTACCTTCCTTGCAAGATAGTGTCACATAACTGGCACTAACATGTAATGGATCTGCTAGGAGCAGCTTCCACCTGGACAGAATTACTGTGATGATTCTATAGAATGCAGAGAAAGAAAATCTAATCATTGCCTTCAGTGATCACATTTATTAGCATTTCTTGTGTCCATCCAGTGCACTGAGTAATTAACCGTACTCCCAGTGCCCCGCCCCTGAAGTCTAAAAGATTTCCTGAAGAATCCACCTGCTCACACCCGTTTCCTTTTTCTCTGTTAGTTTCTGTTACTCATGTGTCCATTTGGTGCATTCTTTGGAAAGATGCTTTCGGAATTTTAGTTATGTCTTATTAACCTAAGGAGTAATTGGCTTTACATTTTTCTTCCTTTTAGGTTAATTTCCTTTATTAGCTACTTATGCAATGCAAATAAATGGGTTGTAGTTGTTAAATTAAAAAGTGAAAATGTATTTACTAATAGGATACCTCCTGGTATGTTAAATACTAACAGACTAACTTTGAATGGTTCTCACTTTTTTGTTGTTTTTAAAGAATGATGGTCCCTTCGGGGCCAGGAGGTTTTAGGTCGTCAACCTCATTTGTCCTTGGCTACCACTGGGGTTGAATGGGAAAAGGCCCGGAGTATCTAACAGAAGAATGGCTTTGTTATCTACGGGACTTGAGAATGGAAATCTCAGACTCTTGCTCTGCAATTTGGAAACTGTCCTGCAACAAAAAGGAGACCCTCCTGTGCATCACTTGTAGGACCCCTTGAAAACTAGAAGGGGCCAGTCCTTGGACCCGCTGCGGCGTGCATGGCAGGCCTACTGAGTCTGTGCAGTTTTTCAAACCCCCTGTACCTGGAGGTCTTGCGCATGGTTTCTGTGTAGCTTTTTTTTTTTTTATCCTCTTGCTAGAGTGTATTTTGCTTATTTCTGCCAAGGGTGATAGCTTTCACAGCTTTTTAAATGTGCTTGTTCCTTGGGCTTCCTAGATCGCTCATGGCAGCATTGTGTTCATTGCAGCTTACAGTCAAGTCTTGTTTTTAAAGCTGCACTGATATTCTGTTGTGATTGTTCCATTGAAAAATAGAATTTCAGAGCCCAACGATACCTTAGAAACCATATCTTCACATTCTCTCCAGTTATATTATAAATCACTTCACTATTTATTTATTTATTTTATTTTTATTTATTTATTTATTTTGAGACAGAGTCTCGCTTTGTTGCCCAGGCTAGAGTGAGTGCCGTGGCGTCAGCCTCGCTCACAGCAACCTCAAACTCCTGGGCTCAAGCGATCCTCCTGCCTCAGCCTCCCGAGTAGCTGGGACTACAGGCATGCGCCACCATGCCCGGCTAATTTTTTCTATATATATTTTTAGTTGGTCAATTAATTTCTTTCTATTTTTGGTAGAGACGGGGTCTCGCTCAGGCTGGTTTTGAACTCCTGACCTTGAGCAATCCTCCCGCCTCGGCCTCCCAAAGTGCTAGGATTACAGGCGTGAGCCACCGCGCCCGGCCTCTTCACTATTTATTAAAAGACCATTAGGTTACAGACATTTATTTTAAGATCACAGGGGTTAGACTCTTCAAGGTTAATTCTCATTGTCCAGTGCTTTGGGATGGGTAAAGCGTGCGCATAATCTAATGTTGTGTTGTTTATTAGTGACGCCCAGTGCTTCCTCCCCCGTTTACCACACCCAGATTTCATTTTGTCTGCCTCACCTGGAATCCTCACATGCCCCCTTGCATAGAATTATTGCTCTGTTTATTACCGAGTGGAATCGCGTTGAATTCCAGCAGGTCTCCCCTCCCACCTTGCCTCTTTGATGGTAGCCGGGTTTACGGCCACTCCCTCATTAGTGCCCTGGGCCTTACTCAACAGCCTCATTCTAACCACACGTCTGCAATGCAGGCATGAAACGGGGCGCAACAGTGAGCCCTTTTGTAGCTTTTGGTGCAATAAAATGGGCCTGCAGTGTTTTGGGGACGTGAGATCTCTGAGTGCAGCTATTCATTTTCTCCATCTATAAAACATCTTAGAATAACAGCGCACATCTGTTTGGGGCCTAAAATCGCACGTTTTGAAGACACGTCGCTGTTATGTGACCCCATGTGGCTGGCAGGCCTTCCCCACATGTGTGCAGCACGTTTTCATTATTATTCCTTCATATCATAAATGACAGTACGTGGGCGATAATGGCTTTGACTCGAAGAATATTTGAAACTCTTTCACAGCGTACTAGAGTTCACCTTATCAGGGACAGTTCTCTACTAGAAGTCGGAAATAAATTTATTTACACATTTATAGCACTTTTTTTTTTTTTTTTGAGACAGAGTCTCACTCTGTTGCCCGGGCTAGAGTGCCTCAAGCGATCCTCCTGCCTCAGCCTCCTCCCGAGTAGCTGGGTCTACAGGCATGCGCCACCACGCCCGGCTCATTTTTTCTATATATTTTTAGTTGGCCAGTTAATTTCTTTCTATTTATAGTAGAGACAGGGTGTAATCCTAGCACTCTGGGAGGCCAAAGAAGCAGGAGGATTGCCCAAGGTCAGGAGTTCGAGACCAGCCTGAGCAAAAGTGAGACCCCCTTCCTTCCTCCCTCCCCTCTTCCTTCCTCACTCCCTCCCTTCCTTTCTTCCTCCCTCTCTTCCTTCCTTCCTCCCTTCCCTCCTCCGCCCCTTCCTTCCTACCTCTCTCCCCCCTTCTCACCCCCCTCCCTCTCCCCCTCCCCACTCTCAGACTGCTGCTCTCTTCCTGGAGTCTCCTTTCTCCACTTGCCCTTTCTGGTGGCCTTTTCACCTCTCTTCCTTTCCTCTCTCCACTCCCTTCTTTCCTTTCGTTTCCCTCCTTTCCCTCCCCCTCTCTTCCTGCCCCCTCTCCTCCCTGGCTTGGCCGCCCCCACTCTCTCTTACCCTCTGTCTCCCTCCCCCCTGTTTCTCTGTGAAACCCTAACACTCTGCCTGCTGTGTAGACAGCCTCGGCCCTTAAGGGAAACACGTTGATTGAGTCTTTAAAATCGACGCTACTTACCACGGGGACTATTTGGTCATTTCAGTAGCCAGACCGTGTGCTTCACTTTCCCTTCCAAAGGGCTTCACGGCATCATTTTATATTTTAGGGGCTCAAAAAGTTAGAGGATCTTATAGGTAGGGTACAGTTTAACTCTTTTTCTAAACATTATGTATATACTGTACCTGCAAGTTTGTTTGATATTGGCTTTGTTATACGTAAAGTTCAAATGAAAAAAATGTTGTTTCTAAGTAAACAATTACAGGTTCTGGCATTACTGTATGAACCTGTAACTAGAAACATTATTGTCTAGAAACATTATTTCATTTGATCAGACATGATTTCATTTGTTCAAATGCTGATGTTTCTTGTTGAATGTATTTGATTTTTTTTTTTTTCTTTCTTTCTTCAGATTCCTTTCTCTTTGGTCCAGTTCCCCTTATGGGAGTCCTTAAAGGTAAGCTTTTCAATCTTCATATAAGATTTGCCTGTGATTATCACAGGCACGCAACAGTCCGAGTGTGGAAGAGGAGTAGGATTATAATGTCGACTAGGGGTTTACAAACTCAAAAGCATTAGCGGCTGAAAATGCTTCTTACGTGTGCTTCATTTGCGAGGTCAGCCTCTAAAAACCTGCTCAGGTGGCCGAGACAGGAGGCAGCGCTGAGTCCCCACGTCCGCTTTGCTTTCCCCCGTGTCGCACTTGCTCGCCACCCGGCGGAACCGTGTTTCACTTTAGGGGCAGAGTGTGGTGAGGTGTGAGTCGGTGTTGGGGCGGGTCACCCGTCTGTTCACAGCCGACAACGTTTTGAGAGCCGGTGTTGCAGGCATGCAGGGCTGTTGCATTAGGTTTTCACCTGCTGAGGCAGTGAATTGGAAACTGTGGGTCATGGTATGACTCGTGTGGGTCTTCGCCAGCATTGCTAAAGATCATAATAAAAAAAAATGTTAGCATCTTACGTGGTAAGGATAAGTATTGTTTTGTAAAATGTCAGTGTTGTGTCTGCACGTGCGTGTGCACATCTTTACTGGGTTGCAATGTAAAATGTAGTTTTTCAAGCACCAGATATATTCTCCAGCAAACTGGTATTAACTGAGCAGCACCTAAGTGCACATAGGACTACAGTAATAGGGTATTGGGAGGGGGGGAGGGGGAGGGCGGGTATAACATACATAAGAGTGAGATGTGCACCATCTGGGGGATGGTCATGCTGAGACTCAGACTTTTGGGGATGGGGGAAATGGGCATTTATAGAAACCTTAAAATCTGTACCCCCATAATATGCCGAAATAAAAAAAAAAAAAAAGGGAAAAAAAAATAAAATGTAGTTTTTGCTGTGGATAATGGTCAGAAAAAAACCTTTGAAAGCTCTTGTTCAAGTGAAAATGTTTCATAAAGGACCAAACTGAAATCTCTAGGTGGGTATTAGACAATACAAGAATAAAGAAATTACCCCATAATTTTAGTCACTGATCATGGATTACTCATATAAAATATCTTTTGAAGAATATAATAAGACAGCATTTAAACTCTGAAATAAATTCTGTTGGAGTTACATACTAAAGGATAATAAATTAAGACAAAATATTCTCTTAAAATAGAGGATCTTCTCTATTTTAAATAAACTCTGGAACATTAAGTGTTGGGAAGTACTTCTTCTGAGTGATCTGATTTTTAAGGAGCAGTACTGCTCATTTAATATAGTTGTTTGGGTTATAGTTTTTTGTTGTTTCGTTATTATTTTTACCAGTTCCCACATGGCTCATGGTGCAAATAGATTTCTCGGACAGTGTTTCAGGGCATGATGTAACAGGTCTCCAATGAGAAGCTCAAATTCCTTTAGCACAACAACTCTCTTTTTTAGTGTGTGACAGAAGAACAATGAAGCCAACAGCTGTCCAGCAAACAAGACCCACTTTATTAGTGTCTCAGTAACTGGTATTCACGCACATTCTGCACGCTCACGCCATAGCTCTGCACAGGAATGTTTTGAGGCCCGAACAAGGAAAGAGCATGGGGTTTATCTCTTTTCAATAGTAAGAACATCTGTAGAGTTCTAGCTAGTTAAGAAGCATCTAGAAGTTTTCAGAGTAACCACAGATAACGATGCTATGCTTTAAAAATTTTCTTTGAGCAAATGTTGAGATGGTATAGTTTTTTGTTTCTGTTTTTTAGGTCGGGTTTCTTGAGGAATAATTTACATACAGTAAAATTCGCCCTTTATAAATGTGCATCTTTATGAGTTCTGACAAATGTTTGTAACCGCCACCATAACTAACGTAGAGAATGTTACCGTCGTTCCAGAAAGTTCCCTCACGCCCCTCTGTCGTCGGTGCCCTCCCTCTGTCCCCAGCCCCTGCCACCTGCTGTTCTGGTAGTTTTTCCTTTTCCAGAATATCACACAAACAGAGGATGCTAATCAGCATTTTGTGCCTTGCTGCTTTCGTTTAATGCTTCTGAGATTCGTTCATGTTGTTGCTTGTGCCAATAGTTTGTTCCTTGTCACCTTGTATTATTCTGTGGCCTCACTGAGGCTGGACCGCAGTTTGTCTGTTCCCTAGCTGATGCACGTCTGAGTTGTTTCCAGTTTTCGATGATTGTGAACAAAGCTGCTGTAAACATCGGCACGTAGTATTTGTAGGGACATGGGTTTTTCTCTCTCTTGGGTAAGTGCCTAGGAGTGGCACTGCTGGCTCATAAGGAAAGTCTATGTTTAATTTTTTTATAAGAAACTGTCAAAGTGTTTTCCAAAGTGGCTGTGTACCCTTTTGCATTCCCACCATCAGTGTACGAGAGAGTTCCAGTTGCTCTACATCCGTGTCATTACTTGCTGTCATTAAATTAAAAAAATGTCCAGCCATTCTAATAGTTGTGGACGGGCATCTCGTTGTGGTTTTAATTCGCAGCTCCCTCACAACTAAATAACGCCAGGCGTTTTTTCGTGTAGTGTTTTTGTAGCGTCTGCGTGTGAAGTCGGTGCTTTTTGTAGAAGTAGACGGTTTTTGGCACGTCTGTTATTTTTTGTGTCGACGATTTGAACTTGCTTTTGCAACCGAAGAGGGGGGCCGTGTTGTGCGGGGATTTCTCTGCTGTGTTTCTGCAGGAACACTGCTCGGGAATCGTTCTCAGCCAAGGCCGCAGCCGATTGCACACCAGTCATCGTCGTCACGTGTCTCCTTCCTGCTGTCCCCCACCCGTCTCTGTTAGTCACTGTTCTCCCGGCCACCTGGTCTCAGACCCCAGATTAAAATCCGGTTCTCTTGTTTCTTTGTCGGGTCACAGAGACCGTGAAATCTACCACGTGTCCCTTCTTGCTGAGCTGCCGGAAAGTTCCAAAGTAAACAAACGTAAATCTTTTTTTTTTTTTTTTTTTTGTTGCAAAGTTAAGGTATTAAACAAACGTAAATCTTAAAGGGAAATTATCTTCTCTGAGGTCCTGGATATGGCAATTCTACCCTTTTTTCTCTCCCTCCTCTTTAGGATGTCTCACCTTTGTTCATCTAAAACACGTTTTTGAGGCCGGGCGCGGTGGCTCACGCCTGTCATCCTAGCACTCTGGGAGGCCGAGGCGGGAGGATCTCTCAAGGTCTCTCAAGCGATCCTCCTGCCTCGGCCTCCCGAGTAGCTGGGACTGCAGGCATGCGCCACCACGCCCGGCTAATTTTTCCCATATATATTTTTAGTTGGCCAACTAATTTCTTTCTATTTTTGGTAGACACGGGGTCTCGCTCTTGCTCAGGCTGGTCTCGAACTCCTGACCTTGAGCGATCGGCCTCCCAGAGTGCTAGGATGAAATTTCCTGTAACTGTGTCAAATTTTTTTCTATTGTCTCAATACGCAGCATCGTTTTACAGTGCAGTGTGGAGAGTTGCTGAGAATACCGTCAGGTATTCTGTGTGGGTGCTGTTCTAGGCCAACACCAAAGAATACTGTCCGGTCTAAATAGTCTTGCTTACAGCTACGAGGCGTTGCAAAGTAACACAGCAATAACTGTGTAAGAGATGCAAGATTTGAGCTAAGCAACACTTGAAGCAAAAAGAAAGTAAAATCAGTTTGATTTTGTGAAGACAGTGACATGCCGATGATTTTCTAAGATGAAGTCAAAGCTTTGTAATAGAAACCAGGGGCCAGTGGATTATCACTTCCCTTATTTTATGTGTAAAATAATTACTTAGATTTCTCTTTTGGCTTACAAATATTTTAAACATGCAGCACTGTATAAAAACTTTTCAAGTTGGAGAATAAACAACTTATTTTTTCTTGTTGATTCTTACTTCAGTAATAGTTTAAAATGTCTATCAGCGTCGCACTTAGAACAAACTCCTCCTACACTTGTAGTAACGTAAACAAAATAATAACAATTAGAGGTTGCTCAGTGTTTGGGGTCTCCACTTACACCACATTTCATGAGACTGGGAGAATCTGGTGTCTGCAGTAGACACATTTGCCCAGAACACAGGTCCCAGTAAAGGCATGTTAAACACTGAAAGGGAACAGAAACAGAAAAAATGCGTGTACACGCACGTGTCTGTAATTCTTACCACACTAAGCTAATATCCAAAATCAAACACAACACGCCAGTATGGAAGAAAACCACCTGAAAATAAGAACAGAGTACCTATTGTACTTCCAGATTACCACTCAAACCAGAGCCCAAGATGCTCATTAAGATTATAGCAAAATCACATTCCAATGAAGCGGACATCCTTTAATAATTCAAATACTTGAAGACAGCTTGAATTCTTAATTGTTATCTTAGAAAATATGGGATACTTTGTGGAAAAAGAAAAAATAATTAGAACTCCCTAGCATCCTTTTGTTCAAGTTATCTACTGAGAGATCATATAAGGAATGCAGGGCCGGCTAGGTGGCTCACGCCTCTAATCCTGGCACTCCGGGAGGCCGAGGGGGTAGGGCCGTTTGAGCTCAGGAGTTCTAGAACAGCCTGAGCAAGAGTGAGATGCCGTCTCTACTAAAAATAAAAGAATTAGCCTGGTAACTAAAAATAGAAAAGTTTAGCCGGGCGTGGTGGCGCGTGCCTGTAGTCCCAGCTACTCGGGAGGCTGAGGCAGGAGGATCGCTTGAGCCCAGGAGTTGGAGGCTGCTGTGAGCTGGGCTGCACTCTAGCCCAAGCAGCAGAGTAAGAGTCTATAGTCTCCGGAAAAAAAAAAAAAAAAATAGAAACCCAGTTTAAAAAGCACACCAGAATTCTTCCTTTGTCCTCTTTCTTTTAGACAGTTTTCTCCTATTTATGTAAGTTTGTGACTAAAACGAGGTAAATGTGATCCATCGAGATAGGAGATTCCCATGATGAGTCATGTTAACTTTCTCTGGCTTAGTGCGAGAAAAGAAGGGAGTTTCCCGCACTTCGGTTTAATCAGATTATCAGACATAAATAAATAGAAAGCATTTTTTAAAAATGCCTGGTTCCTTTGCAAAATACAAGACCCTGCCAGGATTTGATTTTGTGGGACCCATCTATGCATTCACATGTAACCCTCTTTTTAAAAATGGGAAAAAGGAGTGTGTTAGCTTCGCTTTTGTGTGTTTTTTTAGACTTCCTTACTCATTATTTGCTAGCATTTTGGGGGGTGATTCGGTATACATGGGTTTTGTTGTGTTTTTTGGTGTTGTTTGAGACAGGGTCTCACTCTGTTGTCAGTGCAGGAGTGCAGTGGCGCAACCCTAGCTCACAGCACCCTCAGACTCCTGGGCGCAAGCGATGGGATCCCCCACCCCTTCCCTTACACCCCCCACCCCTTCCCTTACACCCCCCACCCCCAGCCTCCTGAGCAGCCGGGACTACAGGTGCGTGCCACCATGCCCGGCTAATTTTTTCTATGTTTTTTGTAGAGATGGGGTCTCACTACATTGCTCAGGCTGGTCTCGAGTCCCTGAGCTTAAGCAATCCTCCTGCCTTGGCCTCCCCAAGTGTTAGGATTATAGGCGTGAGCCACCGCGCCTGACCCATTTTGGCCTTTTTAGCCACTTGATCATATTGCTGCAGTCGTGGTGTAGCAGAATTGAGAACCTAATTGTCATTCCTAGTTATATGTGATATTTTTTTTCCGGTTTTTGGCTTTTTTTTTGGAATTTTCTTTTTTTTAAATATACCAGTGTATGAGTACTTCACGGGGAGGTGGCTCATCCGATTGAATAATAAAACTACGAGTAGTTGTTGCTTTAATTGTTTTTAAAGTATATGTGCCAAAGCGACATACTGAGCTTGATCAGCTACAGTATGGAGAGCATTTGCATGAGAATAATCATCTGCTGTCTTTTGAGTGCTGTAAAATTCAGGAGGTGGATCCCAGCAGTGAGACCTACACAGAGGAGGATATTGAGAGCAAGTCTGGGCTTGGAAAAAACTAAGCATTGTCCTTTCTGTTATCCTAAATAAACAGTCGTCTGAGGTTATTAATTTGGAATTGAGTAGATGGCTCTCTAGGCATACCTGCTGCTGTTCCATAAAAAGCATGTGCTAGTACAATTTCATATTCTTGCAAAATTGGAAGCCACATAACAGCTGAAGAAGTCCAAAGTATAAGTTTTCCTGCACTGGGGCCAAGTAAGGCACTTACTGTCAATTTGTTGTTCGTAAGCAAGCGGCGTTCGCTTGGGTGGGTCTTTTAAAGTGTGGGGGGAATAGCTCTCTCTCCATGTCATGCGTTAATAGCAGACGCCTGGCCCAGGCTGGGACTCCTGGCCATTTCCGGGTATGGTGCTGGGGTCTGCGTGCTGTCCCGTGAGCACTGGCGCTGATCTTGGGGTGGGGCGAGGCCGGGTTACTCCTCGTGCTCTTCCTCGGACAGGCCCAGGGCAGTGAGTGCAGAACCACCTGGCTGCTCTCGCGGCAACACCACTGGGTACCCTGACGGATGATAGAAATACCATTGACTGAAAAATCAGGCTGATGTTTAAAAAGTGCATGCCTTTGAACAGCAGTTACTATGGGGAGACTGAGTCAAGGTCAGTAGCTTAGTGAGTTCCTGTCTCGTGCTTTGATAATTGTTCTAGGTATGCAAGCCGGGGGGTGGCTATTCGGGAACTCTACGGTTTTTGTAACTCTTCTGGAAATCTAAATTTATTTCAAAATCGATTTTTTATGTCAGCTATTCATCAACCTACGTTAAGGAAGTTTTACTTAAGAAAAACCCACAGAAGCAAAATTAAGAACCTTTCTCTGACTGCCGGCCTCGTTACTTAAACTTAATATACACAAATGTCCATAGATTCATCTGAAAATTTCATTTATATTTGAAAAGAAAAAGGAAATGGGACACTGAATTGGGATTTAAAAAAAAAAAAGCAGACACCAGGGGAAGTATGGCCACTTGCTGTTTAAAAATTCTTATTTTTATTTTGGTGCACGATCTCCGTCAGCACAGTTGGGACCCCGACGCTGCTTGGGGTCTGGTTTTTCCAATTAATGGCATTTCTGTCACCCATTAGGGTGCTCGGTTGGGCCACTTTTGTGCCCGTCTCCCCACTGGTTCTTCTGCCCCGACAGAAACGATGCCACACCTCTGTAGCAACGAAATTACTTAGGTTGAGAAATTATGGCAATTTACACAATTTTTGGTGTTCAGACAAATCCTTAAAAAAAAAAAAATATCCAAAGCCCTATTATACATCCACATTATTTAAATATTAATATATTTTATTGACACCAAAATACTTTCTCCGATAAATTGTATGTTATAATGCCGTTCCATTAGAAGCTGAGCTCCGAGTGGTCGGGGGGGATCTCATTGTGCCGCGTGTGATTCTGTCCGTCTGCAAGACACACGGCCTTGTGTGGAGCAGGACCAGCCTCAGTTTCCCCACTCACTGTCATGAGCATCTTTAGTCTTCCTGTAAATAACTTTTCCTGTCCTCTCAGCCAGTTTGTTTATCACAGTGGGTCCTGTTCCGCAAATATATGAGCAAACAGATAATTTCAAAATATTATCATAAATTATATACAGTATTTTTTTTTTAACACCAGCTAGAGTCTTGTCATTTTATGTGTTTAGAGTTGTACCCAAATAAATAATTTGTAAATAACTAATCTTTTTCGATTGGTCTGAATATTACTTTTTTCAAGTTCTATATTCAAACAATCCCTCATTTTGAAAAATCATTTCAAATTCCTATTAAGCAAGTTGTTTTGGACATCGACATAGTTTGTTCATTCGCTTGGATGTTTTAATGTCATCCCAGTAGCAACTGTGTGTGGAAATGCAGTGTCTCGGAGATACCATTCTAGGCCCTATCAAGACAGTTACAACCTGTAGATCCAAATCCAGGGGTTTTTATGCTTCACACACCAGATTGTTCCATTCAGATCCCAGTTGGGCACTAACTGTGTCAGCTTTGACATCTCTGAGCCTCAACTTTCTTGTCTAAAAATGGCAAAAATCACAAGAATTACATGTACCTCATAAGGCTTGGGTGAGGGTTACATGAGTCAATGTGTGTAAAGTGTCGAGGGCCTGGAAGACACGGACTTCTGCATAAGCATGTATCATCCAGCTGTTACAGTGTTTATGTCATGCTTTGTGTTTGCCACTGAATGTCTCACTTTAAACCTTTTGGTTTTTCTAGGGTTTTTTTTGTTTAAGGTATTTATTAGTATCCATGTCAAATACAAAATTATTTCTATCTTCTTAGACTATTCTGGCCAGCTGATAGTGAAAAGTTATGCCTATCTGTGGACATTCTATTTTTAAACTGTGTCTTGGGCCATCTGAGTCTATTTGGATTGTGTTTTTCCCCCTTGGCAACCAAAGTCGTCCCCCCACCCCCAGACCACAGCAAGCACCTTTTGAAGCCGCCTCCATCACCTCTCTTCTCTCTTTTATATCTTCTTCTGCCCCACCACGCCCTCCTCAAATGTGAGACCTAGCGACTGTCCTTTTTTTTTTTTCTTGACTCTATGGGTGCCCAACACCTAGCAGGTGCTTAGTAAATGTTTGCTGAATTTGTGAATTACGTAGCGCCTTTGATTTCTTCCTCCTGTACGACAAGATGTGATTCACATCATTTATTTACTATTGCCTATCAACTCAGCGTTATTACTAGTGTTTTAAATGTTTGGAGTAAACTGCTCTTTGGAACCCTTGACGGTAATCAGTAGATGAAGCGAAGGTAACCTTCAGTTGTCAGGAAAAGTCAAATTTATGTTTCACGTTTCTTTTCCAATAAGTTGGTGTGAAGTATGTAATGGTGCCAAAACTGGCATTAGGCTGATAAAATACACATTTTGCCACTTTGAAAGTGAAAAGATGTTATTCTGCTGTCTTGCTGCTTATTGTTTCTCCGGTGCTTACAAGAGCTCGGGAAAAACAATGCTCACTACAAAAGCACACAGATTTGTTCGCAGACTTAGAGGATTTACTGAAAATGTGCCCCAAATCTGTATAGAATCTTTTTTTTTTTGAACTTACCTACTTTTACAAGGTTATTAAAATTGAATAATAAGTACACTTTCAGGTGTACTTACTGGTATGGATGGAAGGAAATGTTGGAGACCTCAGAAACCACACCTATTACGTATCTAATTTGTTAGACAGTTAACATGGGCGTCTGACTTAAAAGTTGTTAAAATTGATGCAGTAAGCAGGGCCATGCGTCTTATTTATACGGCATCTTCTTCATCGTCTTAGCGGCCTTCTTAACCTTCCGGATACGTTTGTCAGGGGGGAAGTATTGGGAGTGGGAGATTAGTGCTAACTTTACTGTTATTCTCTCAGTTGTGGTGTTTATCCCTAAAAATGTCCCACTGTGCTGAGTCAGTCATTATACTATTCTAACCATTTACATTAGTACATTCAAGAGGTATTTTGGTAATATTTGTGTTATTGCAGTGAATATCATTTTGCTAAAGGTCCTACCCTTTTTCTTGCCTGTCTTAGGCAAGAAAAAGAAATAAAACATATCCCAGTTGGAAAGGAAGAAGTAAAACTGTCTTCTTATTCACAGTTGATATGATTATCTATGTAGAAAATTTGATGGACTCCACAAAAAAGCTGTAAGAGCTGATAGGCATGTGGCCTTAAGGCTACAGGTCCCACCGTGGGCTCAGTAAGTTGGACACTAGACAACCCAGTAAAAATGTGCAGAGCGTTTGAACAGATACTTCACCAAAGAAGTTATAATGAATGCCGAATAAGTACATGATAAGGGAGCTCGACATCATTTGTCATTAGGGAAATACAGATGAAAACCACAATGAAATAGAACTATGCACCTATTCGAATGGTCACAATTTTGCAATGGTGACAATACTAAGCGTTGGGAAGAATGTAGAGAAACTGGGGCGAGTGGGAATGTAAAATGATACAACCACTTTGGAAAACAGTTTGGCAGTTCTTGAAAAGTTAAATATATACCTGCCACGTGATCTAACTGTTCCACTCCTAGGTATTTCCCCAAGAGAGAGAAATTCATGTGTCCATTGAAGATTGGTGTACAAACGTTCATAGCAGCTTTATTTGTAATAGCCCCAAATTAGAAAAATCCCAGATTTCCAACAGGTCGACACGTAAATTATCGTATAACCAATGGAATCTTACCTGCCAACAAAAAAAGGAATGAACTGTTGATATCTGCTTGACACGGATGAATCGTAAAATAATTCTGAATGAAAGAAACCAGCTTTTTAAAAACAATTAATGTATGATTACATTTATATAAAAATCTAGAAAGGGCAAACTAATATAGAAGGACAGATTGCTGGGGGGCGGTGAGGAAGGGCCGGAACAGGTTACGTAGGGGTACAGGCAAACTTGTATTTCATGGGTAAGTTCATTGTCTTAATTGTGATGTGTGTGTGTGTGTCACACATATTCCCTGAAAATTGTTTCTTGTGCACACGCCGGTGTAGCTGTCACCCTGATCCTATACTTATTTTAGAATGCGGTTAAGTCCTTGGGAAAGGCCCGTGTCATCAGTGAAGAATGCCACCAAAATAGCTTCTCACTTAAGTTCCCATCCCCAGAGCTAGCCCGCAGGAGGTTGCAGTGAGTTCAGATGTTTAATGACTCGTATTTCCTTTCTCCCTCACCCAGGCCCTGTGGTCCTGCAGGCAGGGCCGCGCGGCGGAGTCCTGGCAGTCGGCCGTGTGCGGGGCCCTCGCAGGTGAGGGGGTCACGCGGTGCCGGGAGGGACCAGAGCGGGGAGAAGACTGCGAAAATACGAGCTATGCCACAACAACATTCTTTAGACATTCCAGATTGCTTAGACGAGGGGAGCTCCAGGAGTCGTTTGAGAAAAGAACATGTCTTAGGGGGGAGAAAAGAAAAACCTGCTCAAAACGTGTCTGCCCGAAAGACAGACAGGCGGCCAATTTGTTTTTGACAAATTTTCCTTTTGCGTGTCATCTTTATTGAGGCCTTCACCCAGGCCCTGGCATGATCTCAGAGATGGTTTATGGAGTCCCGTGTGGCAAGCGTCCGCCCCCCAGAGTCGCTTTGGGGTGTGAGGGATTCCGCAGCGGGCCACGAGTCACGGTCCGGGGGTCGTGGGTGACACACGGGGGACGCACCCCAGATTAACCAGTGTGGGGAGCCCGGCCCCCTGCAGCTCGCCCAACACCAGAAAACAGGCAGCCGCACATCTGGGCACTTTCGGGACATAAAAGCAAGAGCAAAGCGACAGCACGCGATGTCGCGTTACCCGTCACCGAGCCACGGGAATGTTCCAGTGAGCTTTTAATGAGAACGCAGGTGCTTGAAAGAATCTAATAAGTGATACGTTTAAAAGCCCAAAGAGAGACATCTGTTTTGCTGTTTTAAAATAAAGGTAAGTTAGAGTTGTAGTCGAAATAAAGTAAAGTGTAAATTTGCCAGAAAATTCTGAACTTTTTTTAGTTTTAGATGTGAAACTAGTAAATGGATAGACGGGCCGAGTTCAGGGTGTCCGTTGTATCGGAAAGTAATTCTTTTTCCATTTGTTCGGTGGTTGCCGGATTGGTTTTTTTGTTGTGTCAGTGATCGGGAAAACAAAACGCACTGTATAGGATTCATCACCAATAATGAGACGCGCTCGACGTGCAGAACTGATAATCAGTTAGGAACCTCGCCCCTAACACGAGACCAGCCGGGTGGGCCGTGCTGTGATCGTTTCCACGTGGCAGGTCGTCGCCAGCTGGGTGGACTATAAGTAGGTGGCCTCGATTCATTTCCCAGAGGTCAGGGGACCCTAAGAGCAACGGGCCATTTTGGTGACTCCCTCGTGGGCCCTTGGGGACAAAGTGAGTTATGGAGACTTGGTCGTCCTGGATGAGGAAGGCCACTTCTTTATTTTATTTTTATTTTTTTGAGACAGAGTCTCGCTCTGTTGCCCAGGCTAGAGTGAGTGCCGTGGTGTCAGCCTCGCTCACAGCAACCTCCAACTCCCGGGCTCAAGCGATCCTCCTGCCTAGCCTCCCGAGTAGCTGGGACTACAGGCATGCGCCACCATATCCGGGTAATTTTTTCTATATATATTAGTTGGCCAGTTAATTTCTTTCTATTTTATAGTAGAGACAGGGTCTCGCTCTTGCTCAGGCTGGTTTCGAACTCCTGACCTTGAGCAATCCGCCTGCCTCGGCCTCCCAGAGTGCCAGGATGACAGGCGTGAGCCGCCGCGCCCAGCCAGGAAGGCCACTGCTTAAAGTTAGGGAGACTCTAGAACCTTCCGTGTGTTGAGGGAAGAGGTGCTCGTTCTCTGGCCCGTTCCCTAAGTGCCCGATTCGCAGATGGGCCTGCGGACGCCTTGCTGCTACGGGAGAAATCTGCGTCCGTCTCAGTTTCCCTTTCCGAATGGCGCCCCGTGAGAGGCCGGGCGGCGGGAGGAGGGAGGGCAGGAGACTGTATGGGGTTCTGCGCGGCAGGGGCTGCCATCGGGCCCTTCCAGCTAGGGCGGGCCGCGGGAGGGGTGGCAGCCCGGCGGTGCTCCAGGGACGGCTGCAGACACTGGGAGGTGGAGGAGGCGGTGAGGTGACAGCCTCGCAACGCTGTCCAGTCTCCTCTGTCCCCAAGTCAGAGACCTGGGTCCTTCCGAGCACCGGTCCCTCGCCCGTCTGGTAGAAGCCGCCATTCCCGCCCTAGTTAGCCTCAGTGGCCCACACAGCGGCCGTGCTCATTTGTCATCCGTAGAGCGGGACAGGTGTGGGGGCTGTCACCGTTTCAACAAGAACGGCCAACACCCAGGAGGTGAAAAGCTATCCTCGCAATAATCTGTCTTCTCCATTGATCGAAGGAATGATGACATTAATAAGTTAACTCTATCAGTGTTTAATATCATTTAAGAAATCTCAACGAAGTTGCCATAAAGAACAATCTTATCTGATGGCTTGCATATTTTAAAATTCCTCCAATACAAGCATCTTATTTTTTCAGCTGAGGCTCTGGTAAGTGAAGGACTCTGTCCAAGGCCTGCAAAAACCCTGTCATCAGAGTAAATGCACGTACATTTAGCAAAAGATAAATACGTTTCTTATTTACATCCAGCTTTGTTTTGAGATTTTGTGGCACAAATGTGGCGCCCCAGACACAAGGTTGCTGTCACTATCTCAAAGCCTTTCTGAAGGACAAGCATCACTTGCAAGCGCTGAGGGAGGGCGGGAGAGCGGCGTCCTGTTGCGACATCTCGCCCGCTCGGCGTGGAGGGGAAGGACGCCGCCACCCCGCGCGGCCCGTGACACGCTCGCCCGCTGTGCGGGGACACTTGGCCCCAACGCGGCCGGCGGTGGTGGTGACAACACTGGCCTTCGGGTCAGAAAGCAGAGCCCCAGCCCAGGGCTCGCCCAGGTGCGGCCAGGCAGGACCACGGCAGACAGGCTGTCACTCTGCGCGCCCTCCCTGCCCTGGCGCTGCTTGGCGAGGACTCAGGAATGAGTCTCCATGTCGGAGGTGGCCATGGCTGTCCCGCTCGGAAACTGCCTTGGCTCCTGGGCGGGGGGTAAGCTAGGGGAAAAACTAGGACTCTGGCTGGGCGCGGTGGCTCATGCCTGTCATCCTGGCACTCTGGGAGGCCGAGGCGGGAGGATCGCTCGAGGTCAGGAGTTCGAGACCAGCCTGAGCAAGAGCCAGACCCCAACTCTACTATAAATAGAAAGAAATTAATTGGCCAACTAAAAATATATAGAAAAAATGAGCCGGGCCTGGTGGCACATGTCTGTAGTCCCAGCTACTCGGAGGCTGAGGCAGGAGGATCGCTTGAGCCCAGGAGATTGAGGTTGCTGTGAGTGAGCTAGGCTGACACCACGGCACTCACTCTAGCCTGGGCGACACAGGGAGACTCTGTCTCAAAACAAACAAAAAATGATTTGGGCGAGGTTGTGAGGAATTATAAAATACAGACTCTGAGGCTGCCACGCACAGCGCGCAGCGTGTGACCCGTGTGTCATGTGTGTTTTCTCACGCACAGGTGGGTTTGCGGCCGCCGTCACCACGCCTCTGGATGTGGCCAAGACGAGGATCATGCTGGCCAAGGTAGGTGGCCAGATAACCTGGGAGGCACGGCAGGTGCTTGTGTGTGGGCGCTGGGACTGGCGGGCGTAGAACGTGAGTGACAGCACCTTGGGCTGGTGGAGCCGCCGGTGGTCCCGGCTCGGGCAGGACAGTGCGCAGGGGGGTCACCGGGACCGATGTCTGTGCCGGGTTTCGCCGTTTCCAGACCGTCCTCACCTGCATGGTGCAGGCAGCAGCGCTGACAGGGCCACTGTCGCGTGCCGCTGCTTCCGGACACGCTGTTTCTGCTGGCGACACGCCTGCGGCTCGGGACGGTCAGCGTCTCGCCCGCAGCGGGTGAGCTGTCGGCTCGGGACGGCAGGTCGTGCCCGGCCGTGACCGGGTAAGACGGTTGTCGTGACGGGTTTAGGAAAGGCGGTTAAGGGGGAAAATTGTTTAAAAATAATAAAAGCTAGACTGAGACTTGAAGGACCGCGTGTGTGGACGTGACCAAGACAACGCACGTCCTGTCTTCGCGGAGGAGGGGACAGACGGGCAGGTTCCAGGACCCCGTCCTGTAGGGACAGCCTAGGAACGGCCACCGCAGCTCAGCCTCTCGCCAAACGTGCCGCGGGCTGCGGAGGCGAGTGGCGTGGTCCCCCGGTGACTCGTGTCCTGCAGGTCGCCTCGCCCAGCCCTGTCCCCGTAGACGGCTGAGGGTGGCAGTGGCGCTCAGCACAGCGGCCCCCGGGAGGCCGGGCCACAGCCCTGCCGCGGGCGCAAGCGGCACTGCTGGCCAGACGCCCTCGGTCCGATGGGTGCTCTGTCCCGGCAGGGCGGGGGCCCAGCACTGGTGGCTGTCCCCGAGCGCTGGGCGTCGGGCCGCAGAGGGTAACAGCTGTCCCTTGTCTGTCCCACAGGCCGGCTCCAGCAGTGCCAGCGGGAACGTGCTCTCGGCCCTGCACGGGGTGTGGCGGTCGCAGGGGCTGACCGGGTAAGGACAAGAGCGCGCTGCCCCGCCCCGTGTGTGCCGGCCGCGCTCGCTCTCTGTGTCTCACAGAATGTGTTTGAGGTCGCGCGTGGGCATGGCATGGCATGGCATGGCATGGCATGGCATGGCATGGCATGGCATGGCATGGCATGGCATGGCATGGCATGGCATGGCATGGCATGGCCAGGCCAGGCCAGGCCACGGGCAGAGCCGAGGGTGTCACGGGCAGAGCAGGGGGTCCCCCAAGTAAAAGTGCCACGTGCCCGTCCGTCTGTGGCCGCAGAGCAGGTGGGGCTGCCCCATCCGATCGCCACTTTTCTCGACTGCGGCTGTGCTAGTGGACTGAGTTGTCACTGGGCGAAACCGTGACCTGCCGCCCGCAGGGGCAGAACCGGGCCGGAGGTGTTTAAGGGACCAACCGCGGTGACAAGGAGCTGCCCGCTCCCAGCGGGGCCCACGAGGCTTCACACCCTCAGGCAGATGGAGAAAGGGAGCCCGGCGGCCGCGGGGCTGGGGTTCCTGGTGGCGGCACCCCCTTTGCGGGTCTCTGAGGACAAAAGTGACGGAGCAGCACAGTCGCCCAGCAGTGTCTCCACTGGCCGGACCCCCCTCGGACTCGGCCCCTGGACTCCTTTCTGTAAAAGTCGGTTTCACCATCTCTCAAATGAAAAAGCGGTGTGAGAGCTAGAACTACTGTTGGGACCGTTGTCGCTTGACTGTTCCCAGCACGCGGTCTGGTGTTGGCCGGCAAGCGGCCGCGGCCGCTGGGGTGGGATGCAGCCCGTTTCAGTGCGCGTGAGGCTGGGCAAGCTGCGGCTGCAGCCTTGTGTTTTTTTGCACAGATTCTAAAACCCTGTCCCCGTGCTGTCCCCAGGTTGTTCGCCGGCGTCGTCCCCCGCGTGGCAGCCATCAGCCTGGGCGGCTTCATCTTCCTGGGGGCGTACGACAAGACGCGCAGCTTCCTGCTGGGAGTCGGCGCGGGGAGACCGTGAGGCGCCGGCCCGCGCTCCGTGCAGGGAGGGGCCTGCGGGGCAGCGCCCACGTCCAGTCCTGGCGACACCAGCCTTGACAAGTGCCGTGCGGCAGGAAGAGATGGCGGCCACGCGTGCTGTGAGCCGCGTCTCGGATCCCGCAATAAAGGAGCCTGGCGACGCGGGCCGCCGCGGAGCCCCGTCCGCCCGTGTCTGAGCTTTCGCTTCCCGCGGCAGCCCGGGGAGGAGGACTGCGCTCCCGCGAGCTCCCGCCGGGTCTCCTGTCGCCGGGGGCCGGGCCGCGTCTGAGGAGCGCTGCCGAGCATCCTTCCGGGGGGCCAGGCCGCTGCTGCTCATTACCTTCCGGTCTCACAAAAACACACGGCTGTGTTGTCGTAGAGAAGTGTCCAGCGACCCGCGTGGCGTGTGGCTAGGCGGGGTCCCCCGGGCAGCCGCCCCCTGCACTGTCCTCCGTTCCAGGTGAGCTGTCGCGCCTTGAGTCGTGGGGGGGGAGGTCCCCTGCGCCGGGCTGTCAGAGCTTGACCGACCGGCTCCAGGGGTGGAAGACTTGAGGGAGGAAGCCGGGAACCCGGCACTGCCGTCTTCCCCGGGGCAGCAGCGTGCGACTCTGCTTTGCCTCAACTTTGTCCTCGAGGAGAAAAGGGAGGCAGAACGCCTGCAGCTGTGGGGACCTTCTGGAATCGAGGGGGACGGGAGATGCCGGGGAACAGACGTGGAATGACCCCAGCCGCACGCTGAACGTTTATAAATGACCCTTTATTAAAGACACTCCAAGGCCGTTTGTTAGACACTTCAATATTTTACATGGTTTTCAATGTACATTGTACCAAAATCTCTATAAATAAATAACTTTGTACATAAAAGTAACACCTCCTCTTTCACATTGCCTCTCGGAAGCAGCAAATTCACATATTTTGTGGAAGCAACAATCGGGTCACGCCGGGAACACAATTCTACATGTGCTTACCTTTTGGGACAGTGGTGACAGCGGACAGTGACATGTGACCGAGGCAACAGCCACTCTGTCAACACCCCCCTCAGCTTTTCAGCCAAAGGGACTTGCTTTCTGAGATTCTAAGGGCCTTGTTTGTCTCGAGGTCACTCGTGCTGACCCTCACATGGGCACTCACGCGCGGGGCAGCGGCAGGGGTGCAAAGTGCAGAACGCCCGGAACCCAGGGCGGCGCCCGCAGTCTCGCAGGAATGAGCTAGCCCTGAACCTAACGACTCGATCCTGTTTAGCCCCCAAGGCCACTTTGTAATATTAATTATTGGCAGAACTAAAACGTTACTGAAAAAAATCCACAGGTACCGCCACCAGCAGCCTTTACCGTAATGCAAAGCCTCAGGCAGAAGCAGAGGACACCGAGACCAGGTGCGGGTCCCGTCGGCGCCTCGCAGGAGGGACACAGGCAGGCGCGGCGCCGTCCGAGCAGTCGCGTGGGACAGCCCCGTCCTCCTCTGGGAAACAACTCTCACACGAGCCAGCCCCGCACGGGAGCCGCACCTCGGGGCTGTCCGGGCGGCCGCTGCCCACATCCACACTGGCCACGCTGGTGTGAAGTCACTTCCCACGCACACGACTGCTCGGCCGGCCGGCAGCCCGCGGGTCTGTCCCCCCACCAACTCCTGGGAGCAGGCGTGGTCGCGGGCTGTGATCCCAGCCGCGCATTAAGGCACCAGAGCTATTCCCCGCCCTCTCCACAATTAAACAGCAACCTGATACGAAAAATAATATGGTCAGAATTGTATGATTCTGTTGTTAACCATGCACTAAAGATTAAAATAGCCTCTGTAAAAGATATATAATATATAGGAAATCTCTGAAAACTCTTATGTACAACGGTATCAAACACTTTTCCCGCCTTTTGTACAGGAACAGCCTCCGCGTTTCTGTGCTTCAACGCGCGCGGAGGCTGCGGCCACGTGCAGACGCGGGACCGGCTCCCACGGCCGCCCGCGCAGCCGCGCCACCCAAGCTGAGGTAGACGGCCTAGCTCCGCGGTGCCGGCGGGGACGCCCTCCACTTCCCGGGGAGCTGTCCTGCCAGTGCCGCGGGCTGGGAACCCGAGTCGCACGCCTGGGGCGGGCGGCCGTTGGCGACGAGCAAGCGCTGGGCTTCGCTGGGCGCGGCGGGGCGGCCCGGGGCGGCCTCCGTGAGCTCCGTGTCACCCGCAGCCGGTGGCGACGCAGGGGGCAGGTCCGCGGAGTGCGGCTCGCACAGCCCGGCCAACGTCCAGGAAGGGTCCCCTGGGGAGAGAGGCGCGTCAGGCCCGGCCTGGCCACCGAGGTGGCTCCGCCCCTGCTGGGGACGCCGCGGGGGCGTAAAACGTTACCTTTCGCGTCTAGAGGCGCCGCTGGCTTTCTCTTCAAGGCCACCAGCATTCTGTCGTGGTTACTGGGGTACAGAGACCCCCTGTAGTCGGTGCCAGCCCCGTCCACGTTCCCACTGCTCAGCCGCGGTGGAGAATGTTCTCGCTCGCTCCCGCCGGGCTCCCGGGCCGCGGGCGTGCTCGGCTGGGCGCGCGGGGCCTGCTCCGTGGGGCCGCCGTCACCGCGCGCGGGCGGGCCGCCGGGTTCTGCGGGACAGGGCGAGGCGGGTGAGAACGAGGCCGCCCATCTCCACCCACACCAGGAGCGGCAGCTGCGGGCGAGACCCGTGTGCCGCAGCAGAGGAACGCCGCTGCCCCGAGCGCGGACCAAGCACTGAGGAAGAGCGGGCCTTCCACCGCGTGTCCCGGACTCTGCACTGTGCGACTGCGACTGCAGGGAGAGGAACTCCCGAGTCTGGGACGACGCAGCGTGAAGAGTCCTCCGAGGATTAGGGACGCGGCCTCCAAAGGGCTCTGGTGGCAAGGTGCCGTCTGGGCTCTGCCCGGGAGGCCGTGGTCAGGCTCGCCGCCCCGGACTTGCTCTGGGGACGCATGCTGCCGTCAAGAGGCGGCCGGAGCGTCCCGCTTTGGGCCGACACCAGATTTGGGGATAGTGGCAGCCCAAGAACGGGTTTTCCCTCCTCCGTCTAGTGTCCGGACCACCCGCACTTCCGTCTCGGAGAGCAGCCACCTTTCCCGCGGAGCCCCTCCTACCCGTCCTCCGTGGCGCGGGCGTCCCGGCCGCCTTCGCCGTCGCGCTCCAGGGCTCCCGGGCGGCGCAGGGCCGCGGCTGCCGGCACGGGAGGGCCGCGTCTCGCGGGCAGGCGCCTGCAAGGGCGCGCGTTCAGATCCCGGCCGCGGCGTCCCGGCGCGCCCCGTGCCCGCAGCCTCGCCCGCTCCCCCTCATCATTTCTAAACCACGCTCCTCTCAGCGCGGGCCGCCAGGCCAACCGGGGACTCGCGAGGAGCGTGCCTCCTGCCACGACCTCCCCGGCAGGCGGCGGGCCCAGGGACACTGGGAACCGCGTAAACGCGCGGCCCCGTGGGGGAGAAACCCCACGGCCCTGGGCCAGGGCTCCGCGTCCCCGCTGGGGGAGGGGCCGCCCCGGCGAGGCGGTGCCGACGCGAGGCGGGGACGCAGGGCAGACGCTCCCCACGCAGGGACGGCCGGCTCCGCGCCCGGCGCTGTCCTTTGCGGCCGCTGCTCCAGGCAGCCCCTCCCCCAACCGGGCGGCGCTGAGCCCGGCGCGGGACTTCCCGGGGACAGGACTTCAGGGCCTTGCGGAGCTCTCACGCGGGGTCACGGGGTCCCACACCAAACAGCAGCAGCCCCGGCGTCCCTGTCGCTGAGGCCTTACCGTTGCTCTCGATGTGCCCGTTGGCCTGGTGGCCGCCCTCCGTCCTGACCACAGCGTCCTGTCGCTCGGACAGGGTCCCCTGAGAAGAAAGGTAGCTGGGAACATCTGGTGGCACGATGGTTTCATCTGCAAGGAGACGGGACAGGAGCCACAGTGAGAAGTTCACGGCCAGGCCCAGACACAGGGTGTCCCCGGCGGCGACCATCAAGGCCGCGCACGCAGCGTGGAGCCGCGCGTGTGACGCGCTCTCCCGGAACCGCCGACCCGTGCACGCAGGCTGAAAAACACGGCCGTCAGAGGCCCGGGTCCACACGGGACCGAGGACAGCGGTGGGACGGGAGAGGGGACTAACAGAGGAATGGCACCGTGAGGCCGTATTGGGAATGACCCGTCACTGGGGAGCGAGGCACCTCCGAGTCACCGTGGAGGCACCGCGCACGGACGATTCGCGAGCGCCCCCGCTCGCTGTTGCGCCCCGGACGGACGTTAGCCGGCGCCCCGGCCGTCCACAGTGACGCCACAGTCCCCAGGGCTCTGCCTCTGCTCTGCCAGAGCCTCTGGCCCCGCCTCCAGCCCCGCCCCCGCCGACCCGGAACCGGCGCCGACCTGTGTTGGTGACGCTGTACTCCTCGCCCTTCCTGCGCGTCTGGTAGATGACGCACACCCACGCCAGCGACGTCAGCACCACGCTGCACACCACGGCGATGGTGAACACGCCCACGGTGGTCCCGTCCTTCCTGCAGCCGGGCGCGGGCAGGACGCTGAGCTGGCTGTGCGCGCGCTCGGTGCCCAGCGTGTTGGACATCTCGCAGGTGTAGCGGCCCGCGTCCTCCGCCACCACGTCCTGCACGACGAGCAGCTGGTTGCCGGGCGTGAAGTGGTGCCGCTCCGAGAGGCCCAGCGGGCGGCCACCCTTGAGCCAGGTGATGCGGGGCAGGGGGCTGCCCGCCGCCTTGCACTGCAGGGCCACCGTCTCCCCCACCGCCACCACGCGGTCTTCCAGCGGCACGGCCAGCGACGGCGTCTCTGCAAGGAGCCAGCGGAGGCCTCAGTCACCCCCTGGGCCGCGGCGGCTGCGCCCTGTCACCCAGGCGACTCTGACCAGGAGAAGGCCAGGTCTCTGGCCACCAAGCCCCCGCTGTCCCTGCCTGTCCCGTGACCGGCCTGCGGCCTATTCTTGCCCAGGACCACACTCGTCCCGCGCGACTCAGGGCGTTCTCGAGTGGTTTGTGTCTACCCCTGTGAAGACTCTTGATTCGCTATCAATTTTTTTTAAAGAGATGAACCACTTGTTTAAGAAAAACTTTAGGAAGTAGCCCCAAATTTCAAACGTGGTGGCAACAGCCCACTACACTCACCCACCCGGCGCCCAGAGCTTGCCAGCTCGCCCGGCACCTGTGACATTTGAGACACACACGCGCCCCCCACGCGCAGCGAGAGCCGCACCTAGGACGCTCAGGGTGGCGCTGGCCGAGACGGCGCCGGCCGAGTTCTGGGCCGTGCAGCTGTAGACCCCGGTGTCGTCCGCCTTCACGTCGGTGATGAAGAACACGTCGTCGTCGGGCATGACGTGCATGCGGCGCTCGCGCGCAGCGGGGAAGTCCGTGCCTCCGTCCTTCTGCCAGGCGATCTGGGGGTTGGGGTGGCCGGTGGCGGCACACTCGAGGCGGGCCATCGTGCCGGTCCGGATGGCGATGTCCTGAGGCGTTTTGGTGAAGGACGGCAACACTGGAAAACAGGCGCAGGGTCACAACACAGCGGGGCACAGAGCCGGATCCACTCCAGCCGGCACACCTCCCGTGCCAGTGCCCGGGGCCACTGCTGCCACCTGCAAATTGGGAGCCGCCCGCCTCCCCGCCCCCCCTTGCGCACCCTTGGCAGGCTTAATGCCCTTAAAGGTAAAGACGTTTCCCTTCCTATACCTCGTAAGGGAATCGTGTGCTCGAGGGCCCCGTAAGTGTCAGGGCCTGGCGCTTAACTGCCCGGGGAACACAACACCTCCTGCGTGGAGACGCGGCCACAGAGCGAGCGGGCGCGCCTCCCGCTGGGCGCAGCGGCTGGCTCCTCACTTGGCGGAAGCCCGGCAGGACGGGCACAGGAGCGCCCGGCTGGCTGGTGTGCTGAGCCCGCAGCCACATCCTGGCGGGAGCAGCAGCCTGTGACAGGCATCGCCTCCCGCCCTGCCAGGGTCACTCTGGTGGAGCACCTGGCAGTTCACTGAGTCTTCTAGAAGCAGTGCGGGGTTGCTCAGAGCGGGGCGAGACAACCCAAAGTGTGTGGAAGGCACTTCCCTGCGGACCCAGCACTTCCGGGACCACAGGCCAGCTCTTGTTAAGTGGAGGTTTAATGACCAGGAGAATCTCGCGCTGGCCGGGGCCGGGGCGGTTAGCCACTCCGGCTGTCTGCCACAAACCACCGCCACAAACGGCAGAGCTGGGGAATGCCACCTGACAAGCTCTGAGACTGGAAAAAGAGCCTTGTCAGGCCCTGCCCAGCCGCGGACTCTCAGGACGGTGCTCACGTCAGCCCTGCTCGCCCGGCCGCTTGGGAAGCGGGGCCTGCCCCACGCAGGGCGGCCCCCGCTGCGGGGCTGGCCACCCGCTCAAAGCAGCGGCTTCCCAGGCTGGGGCTGCCGGAACCTGGAGACCAGGCGCCGTGGCTTCCGGAAGCTGGTGAATGGCTATAAATACAAGGCTCAGCGCCACAATGCCACCAAACACAACTACTAGATTTCAAAAAGCCACTAAAACCAAAGAACCCGCTGAGAACAGCCTTCAGCTCTGCAAAACCGGCTCTGGGCAAACCCACGTGACGACGCGATTTAGGGTGTCCCAGAGTCAAGGGCGTGTCTCCTGTCTTGGTCATCTCTACGTGGAAAGCTATCTGAAAGAACAGCGTGGCCTGGGAGTCTGGCGCTGGAACACAGACAGACAGACGGACAGACAGACGGACAGACGGCGTTTCCATACCGTTCACGGTGAGCCGCGCCTTGTGCGAGTAGGTGGAGCCGAAGTGGTTGGTGATGACGCACTGGTAGCGGCCCTCGTGCCCGAAGGTGACCTGGCGCAGGTGCAGGATGGTGGTGTACTCCATGACCTCCCCGTCCTGCGCGCGCACGTGGGCGAAGTTCTCCGTGTCCGCGTCGGCCAGCACCTCGTTGTCCTTCTTCCAGGCGAAGGTCATGGGCGAGCTGCTGCTGCTGGCGGCCGAGCACACGAACCGGATGTCCTTGCCCATCACGGCCACGGTCGTCTCCGGCTGGGTGACGATCTGCGGCTTCGGGAAGTCGTCTGGGGACACAAGGGCCCGCGCGTGAGGCACCGCGAGCCCCGGCACCGGGCGGGAAGCGGGCCTTCGCGGTGCCCCTGCGTCCTCGGCCTGCCAGATGCCACGGGGGCCGCGCCGCGATACCTGCCTCCGCCCAGGTGATCACCTCTGATCACCCCGCGAGCAGGATCGCCTCTGTGGCCGCGCTCCTCGACTAGAAATCAACCCCCCGGCACGCGGTCATCAAAGCAGCCAGCCAGCGGTTTCCCTGAGAAGACTGCCGTCGGCGTCGCTTGCTCTCACACAGATCAGAGCCAGGGGCCGCCGGCCAGGCTGCGACCTTGCCCACACACCTTACTCCAAAAGGAGGGACGTGAAGCACTCCCAGCATGTCAGAATGAGGACTTCCAAAAATCTGCACCTCTGCTAACACCAGGAAAGTGGTCAAAATCTACTTTTTTGGAATTCTGGAAAAACCAAAGGCTGACAACAATCCATGGAGTGTTGATTCAAGAAAACAGCCAGACCTCAGTAAGGAAAGTGAGCTCGGGGTGTTTTATCCTAAGCCTCATTCCTCTCTCCCCTGCTCCACGGCAGCCTTGAAACTAGCAGCCTAGCAACCATAGAGGGGGCAGAATGTGTTTGGAGCGCCCCCGAGTTCCCATCCTCGGAGAACTGTCCCCGTGAGACCTGCCAGCAACCCGCATCTAGAAAGGCGCGGAGGGGGGGCTGCTGCTCACATCCACGTCCGCGGTGGCAGCAGCCGCTGACTCGGCAGAGGCCGCGCGGACCAGAAGGCGGCGGCACGCACGCACAAAGTGCTGGAAGGAAGAACGGAGAATTCTATGTCCAGCAAAGTACTGGAAGGAAGAACGGAGAATTCTATGTCCAGCAATATTACCCCTCAAAAATGGAGAAATTAAAATACTCCTGGATTTAAAGAACCAACAAAAAACCAAGAGAATTCATCGCTACCAGACCTATCCTACTAGAAACACTAAATACTAAATGACTACATTGAAAGAACATCAGACAGTAATTCAAATCCACACAAAGAAATTAAAAAACCACCATTATAGGTAAGTACAAAAGACAGTATAAATGTATTTTTGTTTGGAACTCTCTTCTTCTGATTTAAAAAGCAACTACATAAAGCAACAATTATAAAACTGTCTATGAGCTTTTGTTATATTAACATGTGTATGACAACAACACAAATGAGGGAGAGTGGATCTTAACAGGAGAAAACTTTCTGCATACTGTCACAGTTAACTAGATAATTTTAATCCCCATAGCAAACACTAAGAAAATACTAAACACATATACATATGTATAGTAACACAAACAAGGGAATTACAATGGCATACCAGAATATGTATTCAATATAAAACTAGTCAGTAATGGAGGAATAAAGAAACAAAAAGATAAAACATATAGAACAAAGAGCAAGCAGCAAACTCTACCTTATTATTAATTGCATTAAAAGAAAGCAGATTAAACACTCCATTTAAAAAGCAAGGATTGCCATAACGGATAAAGTCATGACCCAGCTATGTGCTGTCTACAAGAGACATCTTAGATTCCAACACACAAATAGTCACTAAAAGAGACCTAGAATGTCCACCCTAATCACACACAAAACAGACTTCAAGACAGAAGTTTTTACTAGAAAGAATATTTTATAACATAAAAGGGTCCATCCATCAGGAAGACCTAAAATTTATAAACATATACGCACCTAACAGACTTTTGCAAAACATAAAATCTGACAGAATTGAAGAGAGAAATAGAGAATGCAAAAATAATAGTTTGTAGACTTGGACATTCCACTTTCAACAATGGACAGAATGACGAGGCAGACCACCAGGGGAAACGACGACTTCGCACCACCAACAGGCAGCCCTGACGGACACGGATGGAACACGTCCCCCAGCGACAGCGGAGTGAACGCTCCTGACGTCTACACGGACGTTCTCCAGCACAGTTTGTGTATGCAAGTGTTCTCGATCCTCTTGCTCATACACCTGGACGTGCACTTGCTGGGTCATGTCGTATTAAATAACTGTGTTTCACACACTGACTGCCACGCTGGAAAAAAAAAATTTCCCTGGGACCACAGTGTTTTATTATGAAAATAGAATGAAAACTTGGAAAACAAAATGATCCTTTCTAATTCAGTGAAAAATTTGTTATTTTTCATTGTTTTCTGTGCATGAGTTATATGCAACTTGAAAAATAGTTCACATGGCTCAAGGTGAAGAGACGTGTGAGCTACATGTGCTACACAGGCCCCAGGCTCAAAACTAGCGTGAGTTAAATACAACTCACATGGCAGTTAATGTGTTAATTGAGGAACTGCCAAGACTGTCTTCCAAAGTGGCTGCGCCATTTTACACGCCCGCAAGCAGCATGGGGGTTGAGATTTCTCCCTGTCCTCAGCAACACTTGCTGTTATCTGACTTTTGGACTCCAGCTATCCTAGTGGGTGTACAGTGATTACGTTTCAGTTTTGTTAAAAAGGAGTGGGAGACTCCCACGGAGCTTGAAACTGTAGCACCTCATGGTGTTTGCGGGGAGGCCCAGCTACGACGCGGGGGAGGAGTCCAGGGCCACCTGCTAGGTGCAGCAGGTGAGAGTTCTACGTGGCTCATCCAAAGGGAGAGCCCAGCCTGTGGCAGGGAAGGGGGAGGAAGGGAGCTCTATTAATAATGTCCCTGCCCATCAGGGACTTGACGAACGACGTCACGCGGCCATTCTGTGCCTGGAGAGCCGTGCTGTGTGCAGCTCGGGTTCCACTCGGAAGGCCCCACAGGACTGATCATTAAGAAAAGCCCAGTTTGGAGGGGTGCTGCCATGTGAGTGGGATGTTTAACACTCCTCCCTGGGCTGGATCCAGAGGAGGTTCTGGAAGCCTGTTTTCAGAAGTGGTGGGGCTGGACGTGTGGAAGTAGGACACTTGCACCTCGTCTCCCGCAGGGTGCTGGCACTGCTATGGCCAGAGAGCGGCACGCCACAGGGATGGCGAGCCGCAGGGATCCCCATCCCGCCAGTGAGCCCCCGGTGAGCCCCCCCACCGTGGGGGATGACGAGGCCGGAGGGACCCGCACCTGCCCGCCGTTCCAGTCAGGCCTGGGACTCCACTCCCCTCCTGCTCAGAGCAAAACCAGGATCTACTCAAAACTCGGCTCATCCTTTGACCACATCTTCCTGACCGAAAAGAGCGTGTGCGTGCGTGCGTAGCCGACCACCCCTGCTCAGAAAGCAGCCAGGCTGCGTCCCAGCCATCAGAAGGCAAAAAGAATTGAAAGTTGCAAGTGCAGGTTTCAGTGGCTTGGAGAAACAGCAAGAGCGCAAGACTCCATCAAGGAATCATCTTTACTACAGCAACTGTTCTCCTGAGACTTGCTCCTTCCTGCATTTAACCTCTCATTCCTGGGGCTGGAAAGAAACACACATTAAAAACCCCAGCCTCATACACCGAGTAATTCGCAGCTAACCCGGGCACCAGAGCCCTGTGGAAACACACAACCATCCTCCTGTAACGGATCTGTAATTGCACCAACTCACGCTCCTCCCGATTAAAGGCACGTGCTCCAAGAACCACGTAAGGAGACAACTGCACGGTGACTGCTGTGCGTGGTTTCACTGGGAAATCAATTGCACCCAGCAGCTGGTCTGGGGGACTGATCGCAGGACTCACTCCCATACCGAAGAGCGGGGGAAAAGAAAAAGTCACAAAGCCGGTCTTACCGCACACGAAGCTGTCCGGCGACACAGAGAAGATGCTCCGGCCCTTCAGTGACTCCGGGTGGGCACAGGTGGCCGTCACGAAGGGCTGCAGTGTCCTGCCCGCCAGCCACGGGGGCAGCCACTTCAGCTGACAGTCACACAGGAAGCTATCACTGCTGATGTGGCTGAAAGAAAAAGAAGAGTGGGCGCTGAAGTGTGACCGCCGCGGGGACCCTCGCTGAGCACCTGGAAGGACTGATGGTCTCGCTCGGCTTCTCCGGTGGACAGCAGCAAGCGGGAGGGGTGACCTTCCTCACGGTTCTCCGGGGAGCCAGGGCAGGCGTGTGGCCCACCTGGAGACTCTGATGAAGGCGGCTCCTGGCTCAGCAGCGGAGCCCAGGACTCCGCACGTCCGGCAGCTCCCGGCTGATGCTGGTGCCGCCGGTCCCGGGCCACACCTGGAGCTGACGAACCTTGCTCCTGTGTGGCCCTGGGGACACCCTTCGTCTTCCCTGGCCTCTGATGCACCCCACGGTGGTAAGCTCCCACCGTCCCTCCTCTGGTTTTTCCCGCCTTCCCCACAAGCTACTTAGAGTTTCCAAATTCAACCTGGATTTCAATTCCGTACCAAGTCCTGAGAAGGCTCTTTTCCTACGTGGCTGCTGTCTTTCGACCTGGCAAAGCCGCGTGTTTCCTTGCTTCCAAATGTGAGCGCCGCCAACACGCCGCCCTCGTGTGTGCGTGTGCACGCATGTGCGCGCGTGTGCACGGCACTACCCGGGCGGGGCAGGATTCGCCCCTCCCCCAACAGCGCCTGCTGGGTAACCGCCACTGCCAGCGAGCACGAGCACGCACAAGTTTGGTTTTGCGAGGCTCCAACCCAAACAGACGGTTATTTTCCCTTTCATTTCGCAGCAAGTGTGGGTGAGCTTTTTAAGCAGAAATCGGACTCGCCATCCCGGTGGACATTCCCTCCTGCGGAGTCAACCAGAGAATCCAGCTGCCCTGCTCCTGGAGGGCCCCGGGCTGTGAGCTGAAGACCGACACCTGGCACGCCACGAGGGAGACCCAGGAAACGGCGGCTTCCCCTCCACAAGCCGGCTCCAGTGCACAGTGACGAAAAGGGGGCGCAGGTGTGCTCAGAAATGTCACAGACCCTCACGCAGGCAACTCGCCGCTGTCCCCGCACAAGCACAGAGCCAAACGACTGGCCGCGCTGCCTTCGGTTTCGCTCCGGCGTGTGATGGGCAGAGAAGCCGTCAGGCTGCTGAGCGGCAAGGGCATGAGATTTCCGCCAGACACCCCAAGGCTGACTACGTTAAGTAAAATCTGCCCCCCCCCCACTCCCAGACGGTCTGGGCATCTTCGTAAAATAATTCTGGAAAGAGATTTCCCAAAGACTGAGCCAGCACCTCAAAGGCACGACGACCGGGCTGCTGCCCCGCGGCAGACCTCGGCGCCGCACGAGACCGCGGCTTGACGGGCGGGCGGAGTTCTGCTGAGAGCGGTCTGGAGGGCGGTCCCCCGAGAGCCACTCTAGGTGGCACAAGGTGGCCATGAGGGCCCACCAGGAGAAAATGGCCGTGCGGAGGGAGCACGGTGGCTGGGAGGCCGCGCCAGGGACTCCTCGGCCTCCCTCGGGAGCGCCGCCAGCCCCGCCAAGAGGGCGTTTCCACGCGGTCAGGCAGAACGGCGAGGACACTACGCAGACGCCTAGAGGCAGACAAGACGCTGGACCACCACCGTGGGACTTCAGGCACTTACGTGGAAGCCAGGGACATACTTAAATTTGAGCCACAGGAAAAACTCGGGGAAGACAGATTTGACATTTGTCCTTGATCAGACACGTGGGGGGAAGGGGTAAGCCTCGCAGCGCACATTCGGTGGCCTGGGTGGGGGGGATGGCACCTGAGAGGATTTGCTGCCTCCTCCGCAAGGAACCCACCTCCAGAGGCGGCCAGGCCCCAGAAAGACAGCTGGCACCCGGGCTGGAGAGAGGTGTCCTACAGGACAGACGGGAAGGGGCTGCGGCCAGACGGCAGTGAGGACACCGGCCTGACACCCACACGCTACGTAAAGACAGGCAGGGGCAGCCCAGGCCCCGCACGCGGCTCCCTCCTGCAGCCGTCCCCGCCCACCTCCGCTGGCTCACGGCGCGTCTTCGTGAGTCCGGCTCAGAGCACGTTCTAATCGCCGCTTGTGGAAATTTACCCCGAGATGACTAAGTGCACAGCACAACCTGCCTCGGTCCGACGGGGAAGAAAATGGCCACGTGGCATCGACCGCTTCTCCCGCCCGAGGACCGGGCCCGCGGCCAGCCCAGCTGGCACGTGCGGCGGCTGATGGGAAACCCCGGCGGGGACCCACGCTTCATGGAAAGGTCCAGTTCTTCCCAACTCGAAAACGGTCTCATAAGAGGCCGTAAGGAAAATCTTTCTCTCCTCCTTTTGTCAAAATACTGTCTTCCTGCTTTATCAGATATTTTTTACTCCCAGCATTTTATTGAAAGTTTCAAAGACAGGAAAGTTGCAGGAACCGTACAAGAACACTCGCAAGCCCGCCGCTTGTCTTTCGCAAGTAACGTCTTACTCTACTTGCTTCATCACATCCCACCCGGCCTTCTGAAGTGGTCTGGACTCATCTCCTCCCTTCCCTGGAACCCCTTCCTCGCGGTACAAACCGTGGAGGCTGAGCGAGGGCCGGCGGAACAGAGCAGCTGCCCGCGGAGCCCCAGGCTCCACCACGCCCGTTCTCACACCCGGCCCTTCCACGGCAGGCCACCCGCCCGCAGGCTTGGGTCTCCCGGCCAGCCAGTCATGAGGCAAGCGTCCAGACACCCCGCTCAGAGAACGCCACCGGCCCGCCTAGGTCCTCAGCTACGGGGACTGCACCCCATTTCCCCATTCCTGCCCTCCCTGCCCAATGGAGGGTCCACCAGCAGTGGCCTCAGCATGGGGGTGAGGTCAGTGCACAAAGATGACCATCCTGTGGCCTCTGCCATTTGGACGGCACCTCTAGAAGCCAAAGTCACACCATTAGGGAACCGACACTAGAACGTAACGGCTGCAGAATCAGATTCGTGTACAGGAAAAAGAAAGGAAACATGGGCGTGGCTACCTGCGTGCCTGGACTAGCTCCTCTCCCAGGGACTGGGACACAGGCAGGCTCTTCCACCCCTTGTCACCCAGAGCCCCTGGCTAATGCCCGTGGTGGCACCACTACCTGTTCCGAGGGCCCTGCAGAGGGTGGGCTGGGCACCCCACGCTGAGCACTCCTGGCCTCCACCAAGGCAGGGCCTTCACTTTAGGCAAACTCAAAAGACGAAAGCTTGTCCTTGGCGTGATGAAAGCGACGATTATCCACTTTATAGGAGAGAGTTTGTTTCACACTACCTAGAACAGTGGTTAACAAACCACCTGTTTTTGTCCATATGAATTACGGGCACAGAGCCACACCTGCGTGCTCACTATTCATGGTTGCCTTCTGCTACACCACCACAGCCGAGTATCACAACAGAGACCCTGTGGCCTACAAAGTCCAGAACATTCACTGCGTGGCCCTTTAAAGAGACATTTGCTGACTCCTGAACCAGAATGAACCCACAGGGCATCTTTTTTAAGGCCGACACTTACGCACGCCTCTAAGCGGTCACAGGCCTCACGGGAGGTGAGAACCGTGCGGATACAGGTGCTTCCCACCCACCGTCTCGCTCACGCTAGCCAAAGCCGGGAGTCAGGTACTTACAGCTCCTTAAGATTCTTCATCTTCGCAAAGGCATCATACTGCACAGACCTGATGGCGTTCTCTCCGAGGTTCCTGAAAGACAGCATTGCTCACAGAAGCGCCAGGCACAACTTAGGACAGCCTGGTTCCACGACGACCCACGGGCACTGGCCCTGACCCCGCTGCAGGTGGCTGCTGTTTCGCCCACACTGACAGACCCGGGCACGACTCTGGACCCGCCCGGCCTTCAGGGCGGCATCAGGGCTGGGCTGAGGCCTGTGCATCGAGTCAGCAAGCAGATCCTCCGCGACCGAATTAAGGTCGAACTTGATTCGAGGAGGAAATAAACCAAGCATCACATACTAGAGGCATCTGCCCCAGACGGCAAGGATGTGGCCGTCTCAGGGCTGGCTCTGTCCCCTCCTCCCAGGGCCTCGGGAGCAAGCACACCCGCAGGAAAGCCGCGGTGAGCCCGGTGTGTGCGTGGTGGTGTTAACCTGCTTGTGGGGCTGGCAGGACGAAGCGCCCCGTGGGAGCGGCCATGAGACCAGGGGCCCAGGAAGGAGCCCGGTGCAGGGGTGAGGCCGCATGGCGGGCGGGAGGGAGGGAGGTGTTTATCCACAGACCAGTTGCATTAACTGGGAACACGCTAACCGGCCATGTGTTCCGTAACTGTTCCTGGCATAGGCAGAATAAAGGCCAGAGTTGAAGCTGACTTGTAACGAGAAGGAAGCAGCTGGCCTTTCCAAATAGCCTGTTTCTCGGTTTACAAAGATGCGATTAAATTGCTAGCAGGCTTCCCGCGGCCGCGCTGGCAGGCCTGCGTGTCGGGCGGGGCCTGGCGAGATACTCACAGGTGCTCCAGGCCTTCCAGCCCCGAGAATGCTCGCTTAGCCACGGACTTGATCTTGTTTCCAAACAGAGTGCTGCGGTTCCCAAACATCCAGAAATCGGGGGGCGGTGGGGGAGAGGGAGGGTTGGAGAAAGAGAGCACACAATCAGGGCAGTGCCGCCTGGCAAGTCTCCGCGGCCAGGCGGGAGAGCTGGCCTGTGCGGGAGAGCGCGAGGTGCGCGGGCCTCCGCTTTTCTGAAACAAGACACTGTTATCTCTGTTAGAACTTAATGGCGATGACAGGCTGGGACTGCACGCACCGTCTGGCCTAAAAAGGAGCCCTTGCAGCGTGAAGCGGGAAGCCACCTTGTGCAGCCTGGGCTGCCTCTCTCCGAGGACCACCCACGGGGAGTGGCGGGTGGTGTGGCGGCCTCCTCGCAGGAGACACGGGACTGGTGACTGGTTGGTTGAGAGGAAGCAGAGTCAAAGACGACACTGAAAACCATGCGAAACCGCTACCTACTTCTGAGAACTACATCCTGGGGACAGACGTTCCCAAAGGAGGCAGGGGGAGGACAGGAGGACCAGCACCGACCAGGACGGCTCGGCAGCCGGCGCACAGCTGTGGCGAGCTGCATCCCTGCAGGATCTTACGCACTGTCGGGGGGCCGAGGCTCATTAACTCCTGCAATGGCAGGTCCTCAAAGGGCACCCTCCGAGGTTATTCAGTGCCCGTCCCCCACGAGCAGGGGCTCCAACCCCAGCCGTGACTGGCAGAGTTTTCTCAGAAACCAGTCTGTCCGCGGCGCTGCACGGGGAAGGAACGAGTGCTGCTTCTGGGGCTGTGTGACCCCAGGGAGGTTTGTTTCCACACGGGGAGCCCCAGAGCGTGCCGGCTGCTGGGCATGAACAGTCGGGTTTCCCTCCTTGTGTCCAGGTTCTCCGAGAGCCCACCAGAGGCGTCCCTGTAGTCTGGCTGGCACAGGAAGCCACCTGCCCCCTAGGGAACCGCCCCGTGATGCTCATCGTCAGCTGAGCGGCCTCGCCAGCGCTAAGGCCCGGCAGGGCCGTTTGGGGCTTGCTGAGACCACCCCTGCCGGCAGCGGCAGGCCGAGTGCGGGAAGCACGTGAGCCCTGAAGGAGACAGAGCACGGCAGGGCTGCCTGCGTCCGGCTCGCCACACTGCCAGCCCACTCGGCCACCTCACCGCAGGACTTCCTGGCCCCCAGTTCCAGCAGAAACAGCCTCCTTTCTGGGGCCCGCTGAGCAGCCCCCCACGGAACCCCGAGTCCGGCCTCAGACAGAGCCGGCTCTGGCTCCCGTCTCCGCAGGGCGAAGGGGCGCCCCTCGGCCTTTGCTTTCTCTGGGAGGCAAACGGTCTCGTCCTGAAAGGTTTCCTGCAGCCTCTCTCCATCTGAACACTTATTTTAAGACAAAGGAACCAAACCCTCAGAAAACCCAGCGGCCGTGCGAACTCGGGCTCCTCGGCCACAGCGCCAGCCAGCGACTCGCAGCTCACGGGCATCAAGCCCCGGCGCTTCGGGGCGCTGCCAACTTCCACACTTCATCAGACCCCGGGCCGAGGCGCGGCGGGCTCCGGGTCCCAGTGGGGACGTATTGAACTGTTTAGCGAAACCCCCGTAAACCAGATCCAGGAAAAAGCTGTGCTTTATTTCACCCATTAAATATTAGTCACGTTGACCCCTTTTACAATGGGGGCACGCTGTTATTCCTAATGGTGACAATAGCAATAAAACAAATTCTCAAATTCTCAATTACGCAGGGGCTAATCATCCTGCTGGTGGACTAGACGGGTCCTTACCCTCCCCTGCCGACATCTGGGGCCGGGGGAGGCCAGCGGGCCGGTGGGCTGGGATGGCTCTAATAAAGGGCTGCTGGGAGGAGAGAGCAGAGCGGCAGCTGTGGGCCGGGAGGACATGATTTCTGCCCCGTAGCCGGGCTCCCAGGGAGGGACAGCCGGCCTGGCCTCCCCAGCATCACCCTGGAGCAGGCAGGCGAGGGGAGTCACCGCAGGTTGTCCCATCCACCCCCGCCAGCCCAGCCGGGGGCTCCCAGGCCTGCTGGCGCGTGCCGACACGGGGTGGCAGGCACCGGGCAGGGCTGAGGTGGACGCGTGCAAAGCCCCCGTGAATCCCATCTGCGGGCCCAGCCGCGCCCAGGCGGGAGTCCAGGGGCTTTGCCCCCTCGTGCAGTTCTGCGCGTTTCCCAAACATAGACACGCTCTGCACACTGAGGCAAGCTGGGACCACGTCGTGGGCACGTGCAAACGCAAGTCACTGGGTGCTCCTCTCTGCCTGTCCCTTGGGCTTCAGAATCCTCCCTTCCTCCTCACACACTGACTGGGGGACCCCGAACCACCCTGAGACAGGGCCCTGGGGCAGGTGAGAGTAACATCACAGTCCCAGGCAAGGCAGGAAGGCGGGCGGGCACCGGAGAGCAGGAGCAGCCTCGTCCTGCCAGGAAGCTGCAGTCTGCTGGTCCTCCCTAGCGCCACCCAGTCCTCGGAGGGGCCTCTGTGGCTCACTTTCTCCTTTCCCGGGGACACTGCGACTTAGGGCCGGCTTCTTACATGGTGCAAGGGCCCCAGGTCCTTGAATAAGTCCGTGATGGCGAGAGTCTCCTTCTCAGGAGGCAGGGCCTGACACCAGCCCCATGCCGGCCCAGAGTCAGGCCACCGACTGCCACCTCCCCAGGACGGCCCTCGCCACTGGCGCGGCAGCCCTTCTCTCCGCGCTAACACCTGCCCTTGCCCGGCAGATCCCAGACTGCGCACCGGGCCGCCGACACGGGGTGACGCCGTGTGGTGGCCGTGGCACAGAGCTTTCCCAGCAATGCTGGGGGCCGGGAGGGGAAGAGCAGCGCCGGGCCTCCCTGTCTCCCGCAGACCTACTGCACGGCTGAGGGAAGGGGAGTCGTTTTAGGGATGAGAAGGGGAAGAAAAACTGGTAAGCATTTCTGACATGCGTCAGAGCACAGGGTACTCAAGAAGAAATGCAATCCTCAGAGAGCCAGAACAGCTTATTCCTGATCAATACCTTTCAGGTATAAAAGGCGAGAAAAGCCACACTTTTTAAAACAAATCAGAAGCATTTACTGCACAGAAAGGCTGTCCCCATTATGGGCTTTCCTAAGTCCTCCGCGCCAGCAGGGCTCCCAAAATGTTCCTCGACACCTGCACTCTGCTCAGCTCCCTGGGACGGGGGACTGAGTGGGGATGGCCTCGTCTGTCCTGTCCTCCAACCCACTGGCAAACAGCAGTGACTGCCCAGACCCCCCCCCCACGTCCCTAGGCGGCGTCTACGGAAAGTGCTGGGGAGATGCAGGGAAAGCAGGGCAGGCAGGCGAAGGACAGAGGACGTGGACTCCAGAGCCAGAGGGCCGAACGCTGGCCCTGCCGCCGGCCGGCTGGGTCCTCTTGGGCGAACGCCTCTGCTTTTCCTCCCCGATAGAAACGCTGCACAAGACAGGCCGCCCTCGGGAGCCCGTGAGGCACCACACACGCACCGACGCACTCACACTCCCGCAGGAAGAACTGGCAGGTTCCAGGAGCTAGGGAAAGAAGACCCCAAACCTTAAACTCAAAATGGCTATTACTGTCACCCTTGGTGATAACTGTTTCCACGTGAGATCATGACTGACAACAAAAATACTGAGGGGCCTCAAAGCCATCAAAAGTTACTCAGCTAATTTACACGCGTCACACAACTTCTAGAAACCGTATGTAAAAGTTGTGTACAAAGGAGTCTTCTAGGGCAAGACTCCTTTGTTTAAAGGACAAAAAAAAATTTAGCAGTTTTTACATCATTTGCAAACTGAGCCCAAGCAAAGCTCCGCTAGGCCACCGAACGCCTGGTCTTGACCCTGAAGGCCCCAGCGTCCAAGGCAGTGGGGAGGCCCCGGGCCTGCAAGGAGCTGAGCTGTCCCCTACTCTCATTGTCACTGTCCTCCCCCAACAAAAGACCTACACGGAGCCAGCTCTGCTCGGCTGGGCCTGGAAGGGCGTGGGGCCGCGCCGGGATACTCACAGCTTGCTGAGGCTGTCCAGCCCCGTGAAGGCGCCGCTGGTGTCCTCTATCGTGCCCGAGATCTCGTTATGGTCCAGATCCCTGGGGAGGGGACAGAAAGCAAGCTTGCTCACCGCCCAGCGTGAGCATGAAGCGGAGAGCAGGCTCCCACCCACCTGCCCCTCGGAAGCTGCAGTCACCAGGTGCAGCCTGGAGGCCTGGCCGCAATACAGAGAGAAGGGACGGTGGCCCTGGGCCGGAAGCCCTGCTCCGCACACCTCGCAGGGCCACATGCCTGTCGCAGGCTTTCGGCAGAGCTCACTCGGGCCCAAGCACGAGGCCTCTGCACCGAGGGCCATGCTCAAGGGAAGGGAGGCCGAGCGGACAGCCCCGTCTGTGTTCCGCCCCCAGAGAGCAGACATCTGGCCCTTGGCACAGAGAACCAGCCCGGAAGTTTCCTTGGGAGTTCCTGTCTGCTCTCACACCAACCAGAGTCCCTTTCCCGGACCTGACCAAGAAACTGCGAAAAGCGCGTGGAGGAAACGAACGATGGCGAAGACAGGGGCCCCTCGGAGCCGGCCGGCGGGTCTGGAGCCCGAAGCCCGTCCCCTCCCGAGGCCTGCTCGGCGCTGAGTCTGAGCCAGCAGGGACATCTGGGTGCTGAGTCAGACCTGCGGCCCACTCGCCAGCACCAGGGAGACGGGCCAACGCCTCGGCCCAGGCCGTCCCATGACGAGGACCCCACGGCCGATGAATCAGCAGCCTCCCCGGCTTCCAAGGGCGGGTCGCGGTGCCAGGCGAGACATCACACCTGGCGACCAGGCCCCCATTCTGCCGCCCCAGCTTTCCACAAGGTTCCTACACTTTCCTGTCTCGAGCTGCTACAGACAGGGGCCAGGAACAGAAGGGATGCTGCCCCTGGCCCCGTGAGAACCTTCCCAAGGAACCGAGGCTGCCAGCAGGGAGGGAGGGAGCTCTGCCTGAAGAGTGACATGCTTGCTGTGACCTTTCTTTTACAGCAGGAAGCCCAAAGAGCCGATTCTGCTTCTGGAAGGGGCTTCTTTCAATGGGTTCCTCCCTATTATCTTCCTACTGAAAAAACCAGGGGCGCAGGGCTGCGGCTTTGTGTGCCTGTCTCCCTGTTCCTGGCCCTGGCTGCCAAAGCTTTCCTCCTCTTTCTGGCCAGCTCAGTCCGAGCGCTCCCAGCCTTGTCATTCAGGCCTCGCCAGGGTTCCCGGCTGACCTTCCTTGAATGGCTCGGCTCCGGCCCTTTCACACGCCCCACAATGGCTCTGCTCTGCGGCCGACTGCCAGGTGCAAGTGCGGTGGCCCTGCTCCCGGTTGTCACATGCCTGGGGAGGGGGCCTCCGAGCCACTGCCACCGTCTCCACTGCCTCTGCGGGGCTTTCCGCTGGTACGTGCTTGCAAGTTCTCTGAGGTCAACAATGGAAAAGTTTTATCAAAGTCCCAGAGAAGCACCCTGCAGCAACTTCTGGCAACCTCACCTAACCAGGAACTCGGAGGGACACGGCACCGTCACCTCCACTTTGTCAAATGACTCCCCTAATGAGGTGCAAGGAGAAAGACTTGGGACTCCCTAAGTAGCTCTCTTGGAACATGGCATCCTAGACACAGGGTATGCGCGGACTGAGAGATGAGCTGCAGGATCCAGTTGGCTTGGAGAAAAAGTACTGGGACTTAAAAATGGAAGTCACAACTGGAGGCTCCAGACTGGACAAATTGCCCCACGCTGCTATTCCCAGGCTGCTCGGGGCCCTCAGGGTGGGGAAAGCTTTTCCCAACAACAGGACCACAGCGACCTGCCAGGCACAACGTGGGAATCCCTGCTTGGTGACAGTGTACCGTGCACCCTCCTGGGGGAATGCGAGAGATTGTTCTGTTCAACCTGCTACTTTTCAATTGATCATATTAAAAGTTTGAGACTTTGCACACACGAGTCAGCGTTGGACCCCATTCTGACTCGAAGCCACTGAGAATGGAATCCAGCAAAGCAGCTGGCCTGTCCCACCCCCGTCCTGTCGAGAGTGAAATACATACAAGACTCGCAGGTTCTTGAGTCCCTTGAAGGCGCCTTCCGCAATGTGGCTGATGGCATTGTGGCTGAGGCGGAGGACACTCAGGCTGCTCAGCTCTGCCAGGCTCTCCTCGTCCAGCCGTGTCAGGTTGTTGAAGGACAGGACCCTGGCGGGGTGGGGGAGGAATGTCACCAGCAGGCCACGTGCAGCTGCCCTCCCTCTCTTTTCCTGAACACGGAGCTGCAGCTGGCCGGATCTCAGTGGGAAAGGACACACACACACACACACACACACACACACACACACACACACGTGTTCATGGCCGCAGAAATATCAAAGGAGTAAGTGGCCACTCAGCCAGAAACTCATCAGGGCCCACATCCATCTAGTCTGACTCGTAGACTGGGGCGCAGGTCAGACACCAAGCTGTCCTTTCAACTGTGAGGACTACGCAAGGCCACGTGACACAGCGACTCTCAAGGCTTGACCCCTTCCTGCTGGTGTCCACGGCTGGTCTTGGTTCCGGCTACAGAGACCTCGGGCAGGACCCCGGCAGGTTCTGACAGGGAGCCCGTCACTCCCGGCAGTGGCCGGCAGAGGGCGCCACTGGCCACTGCCTCGGAAGCTGCGGCTGCACCTCGGCGGGGACGGCAGGTTCCGTCCCAGTCACCTGAGTGTCAGAATCCAACCTCCCTCCCGGCACTGCCACGCCTGACACAGCCCTGGCCGATTACTTGATAGATATAATGGTCACCTATCGCTGAGAAACGGGGAATGCCGGCTGGGGCAGGAAGGAGGAAAATAAATGCAGAGAAGATTAACGAGTTTTTAAAGGTGACGACGGGAGGAACATTCTTTCTCTCCTGGACAAATGAGTCACAGTGTCTGTCAGTCTCAAAGAGCTGGCAGGAGATCAAAGTCACATCCTCACCTGCAATTGAAGAATTTAGCTTACGGGCTTACGGGAGGGGCGGGGAACACGCTGGAAAGAGCCTGGACATGGGGCAAGCTGCAGAGACCGGGCAGGACACCCTTCCGTGACCTTCCCCGCACCTTCTGAAGGGCACGGAAGACGGCTTGGTGTTGTCCACCAGCCAGAGAGGGGGACGTGGGAAGCCCAAGGCCCACTTGGGGAGGGAGGACACCTTCCCGTGGACTCACACCCCCTCTGGCGGCCACAGAGGCTGCTCCGGGGCTGGCTCGGGCCTGGGGCACTCAGAGGACGGCTCCTGCTCCCCAGCTCCCAGCCCTGGCGGCACCAGGGGTCCTTGGAGCTCGCTGGTGGGGTCACAGCCCGAGGACAGAGCTTCTCAGAAGCCCCCCAACACCAGCTGAGATGTACAACTCCAGTGGCCTGACGCTGACCCCAGAGGGTTCACACGGACACACAGGAAACCCAAGGGCAGTGCACAAGGACAGGGACAGAACTACTGCACTTTGCACCAGATAACGAGGGATTCATGGAAATATAACATCCAGGCCAGTGTGGGGTGCGTGAGAGAGAGAGACAGAAGGAAGGAGGGAGCGAGGGACAGAACACAGAAGACCAGATAAAAACCCGGTCTGTAAGGATCCACAGTCAGGTCAAGCACCCTGTCGAGTCTGCCTGGGGAGGCCGGGAGGGGACAGGCTGGGGTGAGGCCCGGCACCTGTAACCACTGCTCACTTCAGCAGGTGAATCTTTGTCTATAGCAAAGCTTAGAAAAGGAAGAAAAAAAGAGAAAACCCACCAGACTCTCTTGAAAAAGAAAGAAACCTATTGGACTAATCTGGAATACATCAAACTGAAAGAATAAACTTAGTGGAAAACTGTTTTCTTCCTCCCCAAACACCCGGTCTTTGCAACACGGGACAGAAGCAGAGGGCGAAAGTGTGTCCCCTAAGCCTCGGCAACACTGCGCTCACTGTTGGTCACCTGCCCTGGCCAGAGGCACAGCCACGGCCCCGGCCCCACCCCGGAAACTGTCACCACCGGTCCCAGAACCTTAGGCGCCGAGAGCTGGGGAGCTCTCAGGCCCGACCTGGGCGTCCCCCAAAACCTCCGAAGGAGCCGGGGGCCGTGCTTCCTGCACACCCAGGACCTCGGGCGCCGCCACGACCTGGCCGCCGGAATGCAAAACGGGGGTGGGGACGGTGCCCAGAGCACGGCAGCGTGTCTCCAGGAAGAGGAGCGTGTGGCCATCTCTCCGTTCCACGGACTTTCTCAAACGTGCCTTTCTGTTTGGGCCCAAACAGCCCCTTCCACTAAAGAAGTGCGTGCGGCCTGGTGTGGCATTAGCGCACCGTCAAGACGGCTACGGTGGGGACACTTCTGTGGCTGCCCTTTCCCAAGACAGCCCTCCACCTCAGGAACTCTCAAGCCGAGAGGCCTGCGGGGCGGAGGCTCCCTGCCTCTGGGGGGCTGCTGCTGCTGCCGTGGCCCTGCCGATCGGAGGCAGAGGGGAGAGCGGCAAGGGCTCCAGCCCAAGTCACGGAGCGTCCTGCTCTGGGGTCCACCTTCTGTCCAGCATGGGGCTACTGATTGGCCTGCTTCCCTCTGAGCTACCTCGACCCCGAACCCGCTCCCGGCCAGGGTGCAGTGGGTGAGCCAGGACCAGAGCTCTCCGGGCTTGGGAGAACGCACCCACGGCGGCGTCTCAGAAGCCCGCCACAGCCCACCGCCCAAAGCCCACCACCCACAGACCACCTCCCACAGCCCAAAGCCTACCGCCCACAGCCACAGCCCACCGCCCACAGCCCACTGCCCCCAGCCCACTGCCCCCAGCCCAGGCACTTACAGCTCGTGCAGCTTCCGGCAGAAGCTCCAGCCGTTGCGGTGGATGCGGGAGATGGCGTTGCTGCCCAGGTGCAGCTGGTGCAGGGCCGACAGGCCGTACAGCGAGCCGCTGTTCACTTCCTGCAGGCTGTTGTGCTCCAGGTGCCTGCAGGGACAGCCACGCGCAGGATGAACGGGGGACTGTCACTCGGTCACTCCACAGACAGCAGAGCAGTAACGCGCCACACGCAGGATGAACGGGGGACTGTCACTCGGTCACTCCACAGACAGCAGAGCGGCAACGCACCACACGCAGGATGAACGGGGGACTGTCACTCCTTCACTCCACAGACAGCAGAGCGGCAACGCTCCACACGCAGGATGAACGGGGACTGTCACTCGTTCACTCCACAGACAGCAGAGCAGCAACGCACCACACGCAGGATGAACGGGGGACTGTCACTCGTTCACCACACAGACAGCAGAGCAGCAACGCGCCACACACAGGATGAACGGGGGACTGTCACTCGTTCACCACACAGACAGCAGAGCAGCAACGCGCCACACGCAGGATGAACGGGGGACTGTCACTCGTTCACTCCACAGACAGCAGAGCAGCAACGCACCACACGCAGGATGAACGGGGGACTGTCACTCGTTCAATCCACAGACAGCAGAGCAGCAACACACCACACGCAGGATGAACGGGGGACTGTCACTCCTTCACTCCACAGACAGCAGAGCAGCAACGCGCCACACGCAGGATGAACCACAGACAGCAGAGCAGCAACGCACCACACGCAGGATGAACGGGGGACTGTCACTCGTTCACCACACAGACAGCAGAGCAGCAACGCGCCACACACAGGATGAACGGGGGACTGTCACTCGTTCACCACACAGACAGCAGAGCAGCAACGCGCCACACGCAGGATGAACGGGGGACTGTCACTCGTTCACTCCACAGACAGCAGGGCGGCAACGCACCACACGCAGGATGAACGGGGGACTGTCACTGGGTCACTCCACAGACAGCAGAGCAGCAACGCACCACACGCAGGATGAACGGGGACTGTCACTCGTTCACTCCACAGACAGCAGAGCAGCAACGCGCCACACGCAGGATGAACGGGGGACTGTCACTCGGTCACTCCACAGACAGCAGAGCAGCAACGCACCACACGCAGGATGAACGGGGACTGTCACTCCTTCACTCCACAGACAGCAGAGCGGCAACGCACCACACGCAGGATGAACGGGGGACTGTCACTCGTTCACTCCACAGACAGCAGAGCAGCAACGCGCCACACGCAGGATGAACGGGGACTGTCACTCGTTCACCCCACAGACAGCAGAGCAGCAACGCGCCACACACAGGATGAACGGGGGACTGTCACTCGTTCACTCCACAGACAGCAGAGCAGCAACGCACCACACGCAGGATGAACGGGGGACTGTCACTCGTTCACTCCACAGACAGCAGAGCGGCAACGCACCACACGCAGGATGAACGGGGGACTGTCACTCGTTCAATCCACAGACAGCAAAGGGGCAACCACTCCCTCGGACACTGCGGTCAGCACCGAGGACGGAACAGTGCACAGAAGAACTGGAGTGTGTGCGTGTGCACTTAATTTATAAATAACCTCTAAGGCAACTCATCACACACTCCTAATTTGTACAAAAGCGTTCAACATAAAATCCAAATGGGTGCTTGGCACAGTTGGTTCACGCCTGTTATCTCAGCACTTTGGGAGGCCGAGGCAGGAGGATCGTTTCAGGCCAGGAATTCGAGGCCAGCCTGGGCAACATAGCAAGACCTCACATCTACTAAAAATGAGAAAAACTAGCCAGGTGTGGTGGCATGCACCCATAGTCCCAGCTACTTAGGAGGCTGAGGTGGGGGGATTTCTTGAGCCCAGGAATTCAAGGTTACAGTGAGCTATGAGGGTGCCACTGCACTCCAGCCTGGGTGACAGAACAGATCCTGTCTCTTTTAAAAACAAAACAAAACCCCAAATGGCAGGTGCTCCATCTTCTTCTGAGAATTCTTTTAATCTCGTCCTCCTACCCAGCACGTGACCACCTGGATTTTCAAAGTCCACAATGACGGTTTTAAGGATTTCAAGTTAAGGTGTCTCGAGTACGTAAGAGCAGAGCCCGGCTGGCGCCTCAGGGAGGAGCAGCGAGGGCAGCCTGGCGGAAGCTCCCGTCCTTGCGGCACAGGGTGTGCGTGGGAAGGGTGGCCGCCTGCAGACACCCGGGCAGCGAGCACAGCACGGCACGCGCGTGGACCTGGGCCTAGCTGGCTTCCGGCACGGAGACAGCCAGTAAAGCATGTAAAAGCCGTGATGCCATTTGCACGGACTGCAGGGGCGACATGGCTGCTGTCGTGAGCAAGTTAAATCCCTGACTCCAAGGCAGGGAATCTCAAGCTGACAAGTCAAGGCCGGGGCATGTGCGGAAGGACCCGGGAGTCAGCACCAGCCAGACTAAAGACGGAAAACCCCAAACGAGAAACGCTCCGGCGGCCCGCCCGCCTCCTGGGAGAAGAGCTGGAATTAAGAGGGAACGAGGGCTGGGGCAGACAGCGACGGCTTTTCTTTACTTTCTGATTTTTTTTTTTTTTTTGAGACAGAGTCTCGCTTTGTTGTCCAGGCTAGAGTGAGTGCCGTGGCGTCAGCCTAGCTCACAGCAACCTCCAACTCCTGGGCTCGAGCGATCCTCCTGCCTCAGCCTCCCGAGTAGCTGGGACTACAGGCATGCGCCACCATGCCCGGCTAATTTTTTATATATATATCAGTTGGCCAATTAATTTCTTTCTATTTATAGTAGAGACGGGGGTCTCGCTCTTGCTCAGGCTGGTTTTGAACTCCTGACCTTGAGCAATCCGCCCGCCTCGGCCTCCCAAGAGCTAGGATTACAGGCGTGAGCCACAGCGCCCGGCCTACTTTCTGATTTTATTTAACTACGAGGATGCATTACTTTGGATTAGATATAAACACATCTTAATGTTTAGAAAGAGAAGATTAGTAACCGCCTTTCCGTACGCGTCTTTGCGGCTGTTCCGCGTTGCACGGGCAGGCGAGCGCGCCCTGCTGCCGCACACATCTGGCTTGGAGAGAAGGCTCCCCTGAGAAAGCTGAACATCTGCACCCAGAGCCTTGATTAGCTCACCAGACAGAAATAAATCTCCTAGGATGAGCTACACATTTCTGGCCCACCTGCACATCAGGAAAGACTGTCAAACCCGGAATGGGGACAGGAGGAACTTCCTGTGGTGTGGGAGTGGAGAGGACGGCCCCCCCACTCCCCGTGCTCACAGGGGAGTGGGGGGGCAGGTGTGGCTGGCGTGGGTGGGGTGGAGAGGACAGGGGTGTGTCCTGTGGCCCCACCCTCACAGGGGAGTGGGGGGGCAGGCGTGGCTGGCGTGGGTGGGGGCGGGCCCAGCACGAGCTCCCTCTTCCACCTCCATCAACCTCGTGGGCGACTGTATCCAGGGATGCTTCCCCCAAGAGACTTCCGTGTCTGCTGGGTAAGCACCCTGAGACCTGGCTGGGTCCCCAAAGACAGCAGGGCCCAGCTGAAGTCCCACAGGGCAGGGGCTGGGTGCCCTACTCCGTGCCCAGTGGTCAGCTGAAGGGGCGCACGCACACGCATACAGATACACACACGCACACACACAGGCGCGCGGCGCACGAACAGGCCTCGAGAGGCACCCCACCCCAGTGCTCAGCTGAAGGGGCGCACACGCGCACACGCGGCGCACGAACAGGCCTCGAGAGGCACTCCCCCCAGCGCAGAGCCCCCGGGCCTGGCGCACTCACAGCACGAGCATCCTGGACAGGCCCCAGAAGGCCCCGTCCGTCAGGTTGCTGATGTTGTTCCGCTGCAGCTTCAGCACCTCCAAGCTGTCAAGCCCCTGGAACGTGAGGCCCTCGACCAGCCGAATCCGGTTCCGGTTGAGATCCCTAAGGAGACGAGGGGTCAGGGCGGCTCAGGCACAGGCCCTCCCACAGCCACCCCCAGGCGGCCCGCTGGGTTTCCGAGCCGGAGGGTCCTGGGGAAGGTCCCCGGGGAGCCGGGACACCCCAGGGGAGCCCACGGCAGGGCTCGCCCGCCACAGCTGTGCTCATGCTGCCGCCCACGGCTGATGCGGGAAAGAGGGGAACGGGGAGCCCCCACAGCCGCTCCAAGAGCCGTGTGAGCCTGTGGTCCTCCCTGAGCTGCTGGCGCCGTGCACCCGTGACTCTGCAGCGAAGACGGGGCTGGGACTCGGGAGGGGCGTCTTAGGTGAGGAGTCGTGAGCTCAGCAACCGAGATCACACCTGCTGCCTCGGCCCAGGAAAGCCCTAACTAGCCGCTGTGCCTCGAGTGGCAATGACGAGTTCCACTTGGGGCATCCCACACGGTCTCCACGTGTCGAGGGAGCTGTGGCACGTGGGGGAGGGTGGGATGGGGAGGGACACCCCAGGAAGCACACATGTTTGGCTCCTAGCCCCTCCTAGCCCCGCATGACGGAGCTCCAGTGAACCACGAGATGGCAGGAATCGGGGTGGGCTGGACCCTCAGCAACCCTGGGGAAGGCCAGGGGGAACACACGGCTAACCAGAAAGCCCTCGGTTTTCCCCAAATATTTCTGCACTGTGTCATGACCCCGCCCCACACAGCCTCCTCGATGTCAGCGAGCCCTTCTCCTCCGCAGACTGCAAAGACAGAGCCCGGGATTCAGCCCCGGGAGGAGCAGCACAGGTGGGGGGGCCGGGGTGCCTTGCTGCCGGCCTGGCCTGCAACAACTGCTTTGTTCTGTTTAAACCAAGTTCCCCATATTGGCTTATTTTCCTGAAATACAGTCTTCCGCTAAAAAGAGGATACAAAACAAAAAACTGGGGCTGGGGGGAGACTCTCATAAGATTCTGGTTCCTGGAGCACCTCTTGAATCCAAAGCTCTGAGTGTCTAGGCGGGCACACGGCCCCGACCACCAAAACATTAAGTAAATCCTTTAAAGAGAATATCATGTATCTTGGGAATGACAGGAGGAGGAAAAATATAAAAAATAAAATAAAATGATAAATCAACTACAGGATTTAGGAGAGGAAGACAAAGGCCCATCTCTCGCTTGCTGCCTCTGGCTACACTAACCTCTCAAACTGCTCAAAGAAGAGTCAGATATCACCATGTCCAAGGAACAGATCTTATGGGTCCCTTTCAAAAATGCACTAAACCACTAAGACACCAACTCCACGCAGCCTAAGCACGAGCCGGCATCGGCTAACTAGCAGGATTCCTCGTCTCACTCTGGAAAATGGCTAGGAAGCCCGGCGTACACAAACTAGTGGATCCTTTTCTCTCTGGCGCAGCCCACGGGCACCAGACCCAGCTCCTAATTTGCTTTTATTAGGTGTTGCCGTAGGGCCGTTAACGATAGTTTGTGCTGAGCTTTACCAAGGGGGAACGAGGAAGGGGGCGCATTTGGTACGAGGTCCGTGGGGAAATCTGGCCCCCATAAAGTCTGGCTAGCCGTAATTAAAGCGCGGGTTTCTGTACTCACAGCTGTGTCAGCCGGGGTAGCTTGAATGCTTTTACAGGAAGCCGGGTGATCCTGTTCTTGCTCAGGCGGAGAGTCAGCAGCGACCGTGACAGGCCATCAAATGCTCCGGACTCCAGGGTGCCGATCCGGTTGCTCGCCAGGTTGCTGGGATGGTTCAGGAAAGAAAGCGCCGTGGTCCGGAGAAGGCCTTCCTCGTTTCGTTACAGACACCAGACCCAGCCGGGTCTCCGGTGGGAAAACAAGGAAAGACACACCCAGAGGGACAGGTCTCCAATGAGATGTGTATCGTCACGAGGCTTCCAGATGGAGAGCCAGAGCAGCGCAGGCCTCAGGACTGTCCCACCGAGGCCGCGGGCAAGCCTCCGTGCAGCCTGGAGCACCCCGTCCTCGTGGCCGGGGGGCCACCCCGAGAGGGTGGCGTGGACATCAAATACCTCCGTGCCCAGCCCCCCTACACACCAGGAGCCTCCTGCACGGCCCCTCCCGCACCACTCTGCCCACGGCCGAGGAGGAAGGCCCTAGAAAGCAGGAGGTCAACCGAGAGCCAGGTTGGAGTCAACTGAATAATGTGGGGAAACGGACTTTAATTTTGAACTGGGTCTCCCCGAAGAGAATTACACAATACATGTGCGTAGGTCAATTCATTGTGATGATTTTAAATGCCTCAGAGAAACACTCTCTAGCTGGAGAGCTGCACAGAGTCTCTGGAGAAAACGAGCAACACTTCCGATGTGCCCACGCTTAGGGGGTGATGCACGTCAGGGCACCCACTGCCACAGCACAGAAAACACAGACTGTCCCCAGCGTCTGATCTGTGCTTCTCACTGCATGCAAATTATGAGAAAAAGAAAAGAGAAGAACAATACGGTATTCCTGGGAGAAGTTACCTCCCCGCCAACACCTCTCCTTCTGTCTCACCCAGACAAATAATACTTTTTTTTCTCTCTCTCTCTTTTTTTTTTTTTTTGGCCTACATGGAAAGGCGAAAGGCCAGGGAGAATTCTCCAGCACAGGGAGTGGAGAGGCGCGAGGCCCTTTCGTCTCTCCACCAGGCAGTGGCCCAGGACAGGGCACATGAGGGCTCTTCGCAGATGGGGCTGGACTGTTTGTTCTTCACACTCGAGATTAGAGGAGAACAGCCTGAGTGATGAAGACACACTGCCCGCAGCTGCCAAAACAGAGTCCCTCCTGCTTTCGCGCAGGGAGAAGGTCAGTGCAGCTCGGCCGAGCAGCTGCGGTTTCTCGTCCCAAGCAAGCAGGTGGCAGCTGGGGACACCTTTCGAAAGACCCTACTGGGGGCTTTGCCATGGCCAAGGCCTCCTGTTCCCGAATTCTGGAGTCTTGGTGCAGCCTAAGAAAGAAACCACTCCTCTCCTTGGGGATCTTTACTTGGAAAATCTGTGTGCCAAGCCCCATCATCCTCCCTGAAAAGACAGGTCACGATGACCCCCAAATGAGCCTTGAAAAGGATTTCCAAACTTGCTCTGAAACGGTAATAATATGGGGAATAAAAACTACCTGTAAGTGGAAAATGTCTCTTTAGCCTGAATTTTCAGTTTCTTTCCCAAAGCAGTACTTCCCTACCAACAAGTAGTGTATTAAGCAGGTTTTAACGTTTTTCCTTCTTGTCTACCATCCATTGTGTGTGAGGTGGGGCATTAACGTGGGTAAGACAGAAACAGACAAAAAAAAAATCTAAAAAGTGCTAAAAGTCTACAGACTAGAGCAACGGCCCTCCCCCAGAACCTAGCGACTTGCTTTCACAGCGCAGGAGAAGCACTGGCACGCTGAGCCTTGTCAGAGCCTCCCCCGCAGGACCCTGCCTGCCATCCAGCCCTCTCTGGAAGCTTTCCTGGGAGGCAGTCTGGGGAACGGGAAAGCAAGCAAGCTCTGTGGTCAGGACAGACCGCATCTGAATCCCAGACCGTCCTCTCGGAGTGGCGAGTCCCTTGGACAGGCTGATTCACCTCCCCCTGCCTCAGCTTCCTCATCTGTCTGTAAGTGGGGAGTGGCGCTGCGGGATTTGGAAATGCTCCATCAACAGGCACACGGAAGGAGACAGGTCACGGGCCCCTGCCCCCTGCCCCCTGCCCTCTGCCCTGCGGAGGCAGCCAAGGCCTGCGGCTTCCCCAGCGACTCAGCCAGGCCACGGCTGAGCAGAGAAGGAACCGTGCGCGCTGCATCCAGACCTGGGTGCTGGGGAAGCCGCCACCCTGCCCGGAAGCAGAGGGACAGACAGCGGAGCACAGGTACTTACAGCTCCTTTAGGGGCAGCCCGTGTGGAAAGCAGGAACTCCGGACCTCTGTGATGTTGTTTGAACTCAGATCCAACACCTCCAAGGAAAGGAAAGCTTTCAGCCGGGTCCCCTCCACGCTGCGAATCTTATTGTGTTGTCTGAAACACACCGAGGGAGGCGGCTCAAGCATCTCGTTCTGCAAAGTGACTGCAAGAAACTATTATTTCCCCCTTCATCCACCAGTTCTTTTAGACACTTTCTTCCTAGTTGTTTTGCTTCTTCATAAAACTACAAATGCAGAGATGCTTTTAAAATGGCATCTCCTGTTCATGTTCCCATCGAGTCATTACCCGCTGGCTGGGTGCTGGGTAGAATATGTTGCATTTTCGTGCCTGAGACAAGTGTGCCTGTCGAGGTTCTGTGAGGCCTAGGCCACTCTTCTCAAGGGCGAGGGCGCAGTGGTGACACGAAAGACCACGCGAGACCAGCATGACGCGACCAGACCCACCGATGCGTGTACCACAAAGGGTGAGCCCAGCGCAGCCAGACAGCTCCGATCCGACTTTCACATAGAACCTTCGGGGCCTGGGCCAGCCCTGTCACCTCCGAGAATGTAGGCACCTGAGCCCAGAGTTCACGTTCATCCAACTTAACACGTCACTTTGCACATTTCACCGACGCTTACCACATAGCAGGCACAGAGACAGACACGAAGGATTTAAAAAAAAAAAGATGACAAAATCCTAACAATCTACAAAGGCAGAGTGGAGCTCACTGCTGGGTCTAATTGGAATCGAATCCCCTAAACCTTCTTACTCTAGCCCTAATTGCCTCGGTTTTCTCATCTGGGAGATGGGGTCACAACCCTTAATTTCGGGGCATGGATGATCCAACCTCAAGCCTCGCTGAAGTGCCGGCAGACGTGCGGTGTGTTTACCACCCCTCCTGCCGAGAAAGGCATTCGCCACCGTGACCTATCTGCACCTTTAATCCTGTCTGCAGAACCCACAGTCTAACCCACCAACCAGTAGTTATTAGTCAGGAGAAGGACAACAAATGCCACCCCAGGCTGGAGGTAGCTCACACCACCCTGCTGTGGGTTTTGCTCTGCCCGGCAGGGTCAAACCACCACAGCCCTGACTCCGACATTAGCCACTTAGCAATCTGCTGGGTGGTGGCGCTAGGCCGCTGGGTCCCTGGCCCTCACACTCGGGCCAGTTCTGAGTCAACAGTGTCAGCATCTCCGGCCAATCAAAGCATTCTCGAATGCAGCACAAGTAAGCCGGGCGTCGCTTACCAAGTGGCATCTCCTTTAAACAAACACTTGACCGAATCAGTTCCAACAGGCATAAACAAGGACCTCTTTCCCAGAAGCTCTGGGGCTTTTCGGGGACTCCTTTGTTTTTTTTTTCACAAGTCTCCCAGGCCCCGAACTCAAAAATCCACTTACAAGGGCACAACTCTGCACACAGAGAACTCTCCCTAGAATGAAAGGACCCTCTCCCGTCACCTCTCCTCCCCTCCCCTCCAGAGCCACTTCCTTTGAGTTCTTTATTAAGGTCTTTAATAAAGACAGTCTCTTCAGTTTTCTGACTCCAAAAGAAAAAGAAAAGAGAAGAAAACCTTTATTATGTAAAGTATGGGAAGAAAAAGAACAAAAAATAAAGGCGACAGAGCTGAGCCTTATCCGGGAACTCTCAATACTGTGCCAGGGAGACAGGAAAGGGGTCTGCAGACAGAGGGACGGCACCCTGGCCCAAGCAGCACAAAGAGTCTCTGGTGTGGCCAGGACTTCGCTGCAGGCCGTGGGACAGCTGCAAACCCCAACACTGCCCCCGCCCCCACCCCATCTCCCTCGTCTTCCCCACCTCCCTCCTCTTTGGTCTTATACCTTTCGCTTCTTTCTTGCCAGTCTATTTATCCACTGAGCCAGCACATCCTAGGCCTCCCACTCTGGATAAAGGACGCTGTGCGGAAGACAAGCCTCTTTCATGGCTGGAGAAGGTTCCCACTTGGCCAGAGCAGCAGCCACGGAGATGGGAACAAGGGTGTGTGGGAGTGAGGGCCACAGCGGCAGGGTCCGAGAAAGGAGCCAGGGGCCTTCAGTCCTGCCTGGGAGAAGATGTGGGGCAGGTATCTGAGGGTGGGATGCTGGGCCTGGGAGGGGACAGGCGGGGACAGGCCAGGAGCCTGGACCAGACGGCGGAGCTGGTGGGGCAGGCAGGACCACCTCAGAAAATGCCTTCCAGTCAAGCTGCGGACATCACAGTGGGCCAGGTAAGAGACGGGGTGATATGGACACAGGCACAGGGGAACAGTAACAGGACTACAGGCCACAAGAGCCGGAGGTGACAGCCGGGGGTGCACTGACAGCGATCCATCATTTTCCAGTTTGGAAGTGGAAGATAACCAGGTTAGTGGGCTGCTGCCCACATCTTCCATCCTGGCCCACTTGCGGTCCATCCCTGACCCGGCAGCCGGAGAGACCCTGCTAAAAACAGTCAGCTCAGGTGTCCTACTGAATAGGAGGAAACATGTTGAGTCATATATCTGAGAAGGGGCTAACATCCTGAATGCGCAAAGAACCCCTACAACGCAACAACACAAAACAAGCAATCCAATTTGAAAAAAGGAGCAAAGAACTTGAATAAACATTTCTTCAAGGAAAACATACAAATGGCCAACAAGAATATGAAAAGATGCTCAGCATCACTATTAGGGAAATGCCAATCAAAAACGCAATGAGGCATCATCAGGATGGCTACTGTTAAAAAAGCAAAACAACGAACGTGAGTGCAGATGTGGAGAGAGTGGACTGTTCCCCGGGCACTGTGCATGGGAACGTAAGATGCTGCAGCTGCTGAAGACGACAGTGTGGTGATTCCTCAAAAATTAAACTCAGAATCACCATATGATCCAGCGATTCCACTTCTGAGTACTGAAAGAACTGAAAGCAGATCTGAGAGACATCCGTACAGCCCTGTTCACAGAAGCATCACTCACAACAGGCAAAAGGTAAAGCAACCCAAACGTTAATCAACAGATGAATGGACAAAATGTGGCATGTACCCACAATGGAATATTATTCAGCCTTAAACTTAAACAGAAGAGAGATTTTTGACACATGCCACCGAGTGGATGAGCCCTGAAGATATTACACTAAATGAAACATGTCAGTCACAAAAAGACAATTGCCGCATGACTCCACTGACACGGGGTGTCTAAAGCAGTCAGACTGAGAGACAGAAAGCAGCACGGCAGCAGCATGGCAGAGTGGGGGCAGGGGGAAATGAAGCTGTCGTCTAACGGGTATGGAGTTTTAGTTTTGCAAGATGAAGAAAGTTCCAGAGATCCATTGCACAACATGCACGCGCTGAACACTGTTGAACTCTACACTTGATAACATGATGAGGATAGCAAATTTTATGTTATGTGTATTTTACCACAATTTAAAAATAAAACACAAGTCAGCTCACAGCACTCTTCTGCCGAATCCCAAACGATGACTCTTGCGTGTCACTCAGGAGTGAGTCCTCATGGTGACCCCCAAGGCCCACAGGGTCTGGCACTCACCTGCCTCACCTCCTCCTCCTCCCCCCACACCCCACCCCGCACAAGCACGCCAAGCCTCGGACAGTCACACCTGTGGTCCCACTGCTTAGAATGCTGTCCCCAGAGATATCCTCGTGTCTCATGCCCTCACTGCCTTCCCAACGCTATCCAAATGTCACCTTCTCAATGAGGCCCTCCCTGGCCACCTTCTCAAAAACCACAAGCCCCGTATGTGTGTGTGTGTGTGTCTCTCTCTCTCTCTCTCTCTCACACACACACACACACACACACTCTCCACCCCCTTGCCTGCTTAATTTTTCTAAAGTCCTAATTATCATCTAATATCCTCAGTATTTGCTTGTTTCTAATTCATCGTCTCCCCCGGCCCCCATGTGGCTCCCCCAAGGCAGAGAGATGTTTCCTCTGTTCACTCTTAGCTTCTCCAGCCGCAGGGCAGGGCCCACAGTCCGTGCTCAATAACACCCGCTGACTGAACCACAACGCGTGCACTCAGGTTGAATTCAGAAGGGCTGAGGCTGGACACAGATTTCGGACGCGCCAGCACTTCCCCAGAAGAAACCATGCGAGTAGCTGCGTCCGATGAGCACGCAGGAACGTGGGGAGACGAGAGTGTGCCAGGGCCCCGTGACACCGCTGCCCAGGCACAAGCTGCGCCCGCGGCAGCTCCAGAGGCCCTCAGGGCTCCAACACTTTCGTCCCCAGCTGTTGGGGACACATATGCCACCTTTCCCCCCGGCCCTCGTCAGTCTCTCTGCTCTAGACTGCAGCCCAGGACCCTGCCCAAACCCTTCCTGAATGCCCCATACGCACGACAGCTGACTTCGAAGCTCCGGCCCCCGGAACTCTGCACCCTTTCCTCCCCAGGAAGCAGGACCCCGGCTGCACTGGCTGAGCCTGTGCCCCTGGCAGTCCCACCCACGGCCAGGCGGTCCTTGCCTGTCTGGAGCAGCGTGCACCAGTATGCCGTGTCGCTCTGCCCAAGTTCAGATCCCAGCGACGCCACCACGGGTGTGAGCCTGGGAGGAGCCCATGTGCAGAGCGGGGTGTCAAGTCCCTGTGCCCCACGGGCTGATGTGACCTGACGCGTAGCAGTTGCTCAAGAAAATGAACTCTCATGTTCAGTAGTCATGTTGTGCCCTCAGAGCCAGGCCCAGGGTCTAGTGTGTAGAAGGTGCTGGAAAGAGAATGAGTAAAATTAATGAGTGACTGGTTCTTATCTACTCCTCTGCTGCATTTCAGTGCAAACAAGCAGGCCTGGCTCCCCTCTTGGGCTGACTCAGAGCTCTTACTCTGAGCTCCACGCGTGAGACAGGCCTGTTCCAGCCAGAGAGCGTCACACCCGGCCACTGGGAAGACCAGGCTGTCTCGGGGAGCCATGCTTCAAAGCAAATCGCAGACTGCAGCTTCTGTGGGACTCAGGCTGGCCAGAGACCCGCCAGATCCCCAGCCAGCCAGACGGCAGCCCCTTCCTCACTCCAGCGGCACGTGGGACCCGGCTCACGGAAGCCCACCACTCCCGGGGTAGCCTGCCAGTCCAAGCCATCCCCTCAGGGCCCCTTCTATCAGGGCTGAGGATACAGCAAGT